TCCTAGAGTGCTGAGATCATAGGCGTGTGCCACCATGCCCGGCAGAGCTCTTGTTTTTGCGGCTGAGAATGCTCCTGGGGCTGGGGATGCAGCTCAGTAGTAGAGCACTTGCCTAGCCAGGGAGAGGCCCTGGGTTCAATCCCAGCAGTGCCAAAAATGTTTTCTGTTGCATCTCCCCAGCGTTTCTCCTGGGGGCTTTGCCCTTGCAGCTGTGGTGGCAGGCTGAGACCCAGCCTCCCCGCCCCCCCCCGCCGGGTGCAGAGCTCGTGGCGTGCCCCATGCATTATTGAGCTGAGCTATCCGGTTGCTCGGTGAACCTCACCCTGGCGCAGGCGGGGGTGCTGGCCGTTGTGGGGTATGGGTGGGAGGTGGGCAACCTTTTCCAGGCTCAAGAACGACTCTGAGAGCATTTGTCCCTGTGCTGAATGCTGGGCTGTCAGGGGAACGCCAAATTCACTCTGAACGTGAGAGCCCCAGAAAGGAGAGATAAAGTGAAATGCCCGTAGTACACAACTCGGGGACGTTTATTCCGCTTAACAAGGAGCTGTATGAGAAGATGGAAGGCCTGGTGCTAAGTGTGATGCCAAGGATTGACATAAAGTAAGATAACTTAAGAATTACAAACCGCCAGGGTGTGGTGGTGCCCACCTGTAATCTCAGCACTCTGGAGGCTGAGACAGGAGGATCACCATGAGTTCAAGGCCAGCTTGGGCTACATAGTGAGTTCAAGGCCAGACTGGGCTATACAGTGAGACCCTGTCTCGAAAACAAACAAAAAAAGAACTATAGACCATAATGGTGCCTGTTTCTCCAGCACTGCGCTGGGGAGGTGGTGGCCTGCGGATGGCTGGCCAGAGCCCCAGAAGTCGGGGTCCCCAGGGTGGCCAGCCAGCCACGTGTGGGTCTGGAGGAGCATCAGTGGGGGACGGCAGGTACCACCAGGTGGCTGGCAGACACTCGCAGACCCTCACACACACACATACACACGCGCACACACACACACACACACACACACACGCACGCACACACACGCGCACACACACGTGTTTCCCGTGCTGCCGGAATCCGGCACAGGAAGGTGCAGGTCTGAGACTCTGGGGATTAAGTGCAAGCGTTAATCATCTTCAGGAACCGGGGATCCTGGCATTTCCTGACTTCCTCCCACAAGCATTTGCCGGTGCCGGGCTTTCCTCGGATGCCCCCTCCTTGCATGTGCTCATGCAGGCTTCTGCACACACGAGGCCCCTACTGGGTGCCCTGCCCTGTGTTCTTAGACCCTGCGCTGCACCCCTAGAGTCTGGAAGAAAGAGGGGAGCACACCACCTCCAGGGGTGTATGGGGGAGCAGGGGGCCACGCTCCAGGCAGCAGAGACTCTAGGTCCTGCTCAGGAGGCCCCAGAGCTGCCCAGGGCACCTGCCTCAGAAGAGGGGACACGGTGGGCTCTGGGCCCCGGGGAACCAAGGGCAGAGACCCCCAGAGGACCTGAGCGGTCACGGGTGGGTTTCCCTGCCCTGGTGGGGGACGGCCGCAGGCACTCAGGGCCTCTGGGGTGACTTGGATGCTGACACCCGGAGGAGGGGGTGGTGACAGGCAGGACGGGCCTGTGTGAGACAGGGTCGTCGTGGAGGGGGGGCTTCTGAGCCAGCGGGACCAGTGGGTTTTGAGATGCGTTGCCACATGGTGTGCAGAGGCCGTTGGTACGTGAGCGGCTGGGTTTGGTGGGGGTTCAGGGCTGCCCCGGGCGCTATGACGTTGGGGTGGCTCTGCGGTGAGTGCGCAGGACCCCGGGAGATGGTCGGGGTGGAGGGGCACAGTGGGGGGCAAGGAGAGCGGTGGCTGCGAGACCTCAGCCTGCACGGATGGGGCGACCCTGCTGGGTGGGGCCCCCGAGGAGAACTGGCTTGTGGGAGCCTCCAGACAGCAAGGGGAGAGGGGTTGGCCGCGGGGGTGAGGGGTCCGCTGCACGCCTCCTCTGGCGCAGTGGGACGAGAGCGCCCGGGGTGGAGGCCCGTCCCTGAGGAGTTACCGAGCAAAGGGGCGCCCTCAAGGAGCAGCCCTGCAGTCTGGGCACTGTGCTTGCGAGGGCCGCAAGGTGCCGTGGTTGTGCCTTGGCGCAAGCACAGGGTCGCTCTGGTGGATTAAGCCCGTGTCCACACGGCGTGCGGCTTCACGCAGACGTAGTCTTCCGGATGTAAGGAGTTTGAGCTCGTGGGAAGAGATCATCGTGGACGTAGGGTGGACCCCAGCTCAGTGGCTAGTGTCTTCACAGGAGAAAGGACGGGGGGGGTTGACTCAGGGAAGACAGCCGTGATAGGCGCAGAGCCGGAGAGCGGATGACAGGGCCGCAAGCCCAGGACGCGGGCGCCACTGCCCTGGAACCTCTCGGAGACCCCTTGGTGGCCGACTCTGGCTGCAGAACTGTGAGAGGTGAGCTGTGAACTACGTGTCTGTAGTTTTAAGGTCCTGGTTCGTGGCCATCTGTCATGGTGGCCCAGGACGCAGGTGGGCTCCTTACCAAAAACAGGAGAAAGAAGCAAGGCACATTCCGTAACAACCAGGCAGCAACCTCTCAGAGACTTAGGAGCTGTCGCAGCAGAGGGACAGGAGTGCTCCCTGCCGGGCTCAGTGTGACCTTTCTGAGAGACACATCAAAGGCAGCGTGAATCCATTGTCCCTGCTGAGGACCCCCGGGAGTGGGTTTGTCGTCCCCTCTTCCAGGATGGCCTGAGACCCTGGGGAGGTGGGCATGAAGCCCTGGCTGCATGGACGACAGCTGCCCTCCCCAGCCAGCCTCCTTCCTCAGGCCATAGAGAGATCCTGGGCTCTGGGACAGGAAGTGGCCCAGTGCTCAGGTGCAAGGTCCAAGGGCGCCATGTCACCGTCGGAGGCCCTGGCAGGGCTGGAATGCGCAGGAGCTGATGGGGTGTGGGCTGGGCTTGCTGTCCCCCGGGAAGTTTGAGCAGGAGCCCAGTCCCCTGCTCTGGCGCTCTGGGGCAGTGTGGCGGGCAGCCTAGGGCCTCCGTCTGTCCTTGCAGTTGGGAGCAGAGCACTCATATGACCTCTTGTCCTCTCAGGGTGACTTTGTTTCCCAGGAAGGGCTGGGCTTGGCCGACAGTCAGCTGACTGGGCCCAACCAGCTTTGAGTAGGAAGAGACAATTTGACAAGTCTGAAGGAGGAGAAATACAGCTTAGGCCGCAGGCTTCAAGTGAACGTGCATAATTTACAAGGGCTGCAGGCTGCCAAGCAGGAGGCAGGAGCACATGCTTGTACGTGTGTGTGCGCAGTGCACATGTGTGCCTGTGTGTGTGTGGATATGTGCATGTGAGGGTGTGCATGCGAGCATCAGCGTGTGGTGGGTACAGGATGTGGGGGTGTGAATGTCTGTGGGTATGAGTGTGCACATGTGTGCATGAGCATGGGTGTGTGTGTGCTGTGTACAAGGGTGGAGGTGTGGCTGAGAGGCTGAGGTGTGAGTGTGTAGGTGTGGGTGTGTGAACGTGTGCATGCGGATGAGTCTGCACGTGAGACCATGGGTATGTACACAAATGGGAGGGCGAGTTACAGTGCGTGTATGTGTGATCGGGTGCATGCACAGTGGGAGGTGTGGTGTGTGGATGCCTCGGGTCCCCTTGCCCAGCCAGATGGGTGCTCGGGAAAGGCTGGGTGGCACCGGGAGAGGAGGGGACACAGCCTGGGCAGAAGCTGTGCTTGTCTGTGGTGATGGTCACGTGGTTTAGAATCAGTCCCTTAGGAGCTCCAGTGGTGAAATTGGTTAGTGCGAGGTAATTATGCAAAACAGCCCCTTCAGCTCCTCAAAAACGAGGCTGCTGGAGGCGCCCCTGGGTGTCCGGAAGTCCTAAGATCTGCTGAGACAGCCTGGGGAGCAGCTTCCCTGAACCCCAGAAGCACGGCTGGGCAGGCAGGGGATGCTGGCCTGGCCCCTAGAGAAGCCGGCATTGGGCCCGCTGTGTTCCCCGGGCCTGGCCCTGCCGCGAGGGCCCCTCACTGCACAGGGGGCAGCTGCTGGGGCTGGGGACCCTTGGGGTGTCTGAGTGCAGCGTCAGCAGCACCTGAGCCTCAGTCCTGCTGGGTACTGGGTGCGCTGTGGTACCCCACCACCTCCTGTTTCTGTCTTTTCTGTGTATCAAAATTGGCAGTGAGGTCTGCAGTCCTCCTCAGCCCCTGTTGTCCTGTATGAGTCCCCTGGTGTGGTGTTCGAATCCCACCGGCTCCAATGTGGAAGCCTTGCTTTGCTGCGCAGCCTCCTTTGCCGGGGCTGGTGACGGTTAGCCGAGGTTGTGCGGTGGGGCTGTGGTGGGATCGGTGTCCTCCAGGGACAGGCAGAGCTGGCTGTGCTGGCCTGGGGCGCTGGAGGGAGGCAGCTGGTGTCCCTCCCTGACCGACCCCGGGAGAGGCCTAAAGCTCCCCACCACGGGCGGGGTCGGGCCTTGGGAAGGCACCAGCGTGTGGCACTGCCTCTGCCAGGGGCCCCGTAGCAGAGGGAGAGCCACGTGGGAGTTGAGACCCGGCTGTGCAGGGTCAGCACGAGAGACAGTGGCAGGGCAGGCCCTGCGGTGGGGGGCCCAGCCCGGGGTGCTTGTGGCTTGTGCCCGAGTGTTGGGCCAGCCCTGCTGTGGCCAGCAGTGACCAGGCAGGGGGACATGGGAGCAGGAGACCTTCTGTCTGAGCCGGGGCAGCCCCTTGTCCGGCCTGCAGGTTTGGGGTCAGATCCTGCATGTGTCCTGGCGTTTGGGGAGGACAGAGACTCAGTGTCCTGACACCCTAGGGGAGGCCTTCCAGGGGGCTTTGAGGGGCCCAGTGACCCCCGCCGTGGGCCACCAGCAGGCGCCGTCCTTCCCTCTGCACTTGACTCTGCCGGGCCTGCAGAGGCCCAGGGGCTGGGGTGCTGCACGGAGTCACGGCCTCGCAGCCGGGTCCCCTTTGTCCTCCCACCGGCTCCCCCTGGCCTCCCCGTCACCTCTCACCTTTGTCCCCCAGGGGAGCACTGCCAGGTGAACGCCCGCTCCGGCCGCTGTGCCAACGGCGTGTGTAAGAACGGAGGCACCTGCGTGAACCTGCTCATCGGCGGCTTCCACTGCGTGTGCCCCCCGGGCGAGTTCGAGCGGCCCTACTGCGAGGTCAGCACGCGCAGCTTCCCGCCCGAGTCCTTCGTCACCTTCCGCGGCCTGCGCCAGCGCTTCCACTTCACCGTCTCGCTGGCGTAAGTGTGCGTCCGCGTGCGCACGGGTCCTCGCGGGGGCCACGCGCTGGGCACGGTGTAGGCATCCTCTGAGGGGGGCTCTGGTAGGTGCTGCCCGCAGTGGGGCAGTCCCGGGACCCCAGGCCGTGTAGCGGAGGGTGAGAATTTCATCTGTGACAGTGGACAGGGAGCAAGCGAGGCCCAGCGTCCCTGTCCTCCCACCTGCCAGCTGTGGGCATTGCTGGCCAGGAGGGTGGGAAAGGGACCCTGAGTCGGAGAAGGCCTCCCTGGCCAGCCACCTGGTCGTCTCACCACGAAAATGCAGGCTGCTTGTGGGCTGTGGTTATTTTATTTTCATACACACACCCAGGAAAATTAAGATTTAGTTAAATTTTTAAAATCAGCCAGGCATGGCGGCCCACACCTGTAATCCTAGCACTTGGGAGGCTGAAGCAGGAGGATCACCATACATTTGAGGCCAACCTAGGCTATATAGTCAGTCGAAGGCCAGCCTGAACCACGTAGCGAGACCCTGTCTCAAACAAGGAGTGAAACGAAAAATCATTCCAGTTTACGAACTTCCTTCTCATGTGACTTAGCAGAGCAGGGTGGGCTCCTGTTTGGGGGCTTGATCAGTGTTTGGGTGACTCGCCAGCACCCTGTCCTCTGTCCTTGGAGTGGCCACCCGCCCAGCACAGCCCCGGCCATCACCCGGCCTGCTGAGCACCTCGTCCCTGCTCCATGCGGGGTGCTGCCGTGGACCCCGTCCCTCCGTGTCCCCTGTGGCCTCTGGGAGCGCTGCCCACCCTCTCGGGAGGAGCCTGTGCCTCCTCGTCACACACGGCAGCAGGTGCCAGCTGAGCTGGTCGTGTGTGATTCTGGCCTGTTTGTGCCCCTGGCCGCCAGCCTCGTGGGTGTGGCGGCAGCCTGCAGTCACGTGCATTCCGGTGACATCGGCCCCACTCGACTGCAGGAGTTGATCCAGAAGGTGACCAGAAGTCCTGGTGCAGGAGGGTGACACGGGAGCGAGCGAGAGCGCTGGAGGCCGCCGAGGGAATCTGCTGCCTCCCGACACAGAGAGAGCAAGGGGAAAGTAGTCATGTCTGCCGGGTGCGCTACAATCCAGCACTCTGGGAGGCTGAGGCAGGAGGATCAAAAGTTCAAGCAAGATCTTCTCTCAAAATTTAAAAACAAAACAAAACAAAACAAAACCAGGCTTGAGCTGTAGCTCTGTGTGCCCGCCCTGGGTTATTCCCCAGGACTGAGAAAAAAGAAAGTAGTAACGCTTAGAAGTCGTCTGCAATGCAGTGCGACACGCTTGTTTGTCAAATCGAGTCTTCACAGGGTTCTTTTATGCTTCGCAGTTTACAGGCCGCTCCCTTGTGCCTGGCTGACTTCAAAGGCCCAAGCATGGCCAGTGCTCCCAGGCTCCCTGGGAGGAGGAGGAGGAGGAGGAGGAGGAGGAGGAGGAGGTGGCGGCACCTGGGGCTCTGGTCAAGGGGGAGGGGCAGGTCCCAGGAGCTGTGGGGCCTTGCGCCCCAGGCTGGGCGAGGGCCGTGCAGGGCTTTGTCTGGGCGGCTTCTCTCCCAGTCCTTCTCCGCTTTCCAGCTTCTGTGTGCCGAGTGCGCTGCTCCAGTTGGGCGGGCTCTGTGCCCAGCACCTCCCAGCACCTCCGTGCCCAGGTCCCCGGCTTTGTCCTTTCCTCCTGCTTCCCCGGGTGCCCGGCCTCCGCTTCTGTTTCCCGCCTCCCCTCGCTGGGCTGGATGTGTCCTTCTGTCCCCCGCTCCCTCCCGCCTGGGTCTACAGAGAACCGTGGCCAAGGGACACCGCTGTGTCCTGCAACCAGCAGGCACTGAGGGCTCTGGCCTTGCTCCAGGGCCCCGCCCCGCCTGAGCTGTGCCCACAGCTCTGTCAGTGTGCGGTGGCTTCGGGGTCCACCCTCACCCCGGTGCTGTGCTGGGGACACGGGGGTCACAGAACTAGGTGGGACCCGTGGGCTTTGTGACCTTGGGGAAGAGGCCAAGGTCAGCTGCTCGGGCCCAACTCGCTCTGACCTGCTACAGGGCACTGTCCCGGGAGAGTCCCCGTAACCCCGGTGATGTGCAGCACCAGGGCCTCTGGATCTGGGGGTGCGGGGCCCTTGGTGTTCCAGGGGAGCTAAGACCCCACTGGGCCGTGTCAGGGTTTCTGAGCTGCCGGCTCCCTTTTTGTTCCTTGAATGCTTAAAGCTCTGACAGCCCAAGCCCCGCTGCCCTTCATACCCCGTGCGTTCATAAGCGCCTCCTTACAGACCCGAAGATGGTCCGGCCGGCTCTGCGAGTCCCAGCCCCGCCCCTAGAGCATCATTTTTTCCCATAATAGATGCAGAAGCAGGATAATTTCAGACATAAATCTAGCGATGTTTCGAGCTGACCAGGCAGGTGCAGTTCAGCTGCAGTGAGGCAGGGAGGTACACTTGGGCTGCCCCTGAGGTTCTGCACACCAGGGAAGATTGTAACTGCTGAGGGAGCAGCAGGTGCAAAGGTACTGGGATCACTTCAACCCGTGTTTGGGAGCAAAAGGTGCTAATTTGGCTGGAGTGAAATGGTGGGGACAAGAGGAGGCCTCAGGTGGTCCTTCCGCACCAGTGTCCTGTGAGCAGGTGCCAAGTCCCTGTGCCCTGGTGCCCATATGTGGGCACATTTCTAGGAGGCAAATTCCCACTTCCTGTGTTTGCTGTCCCAGCACGTCTCTGGTTGGTTCACCGGCTGCATGTCACATTCTCAATCCTCGTGTACCCACAGTTGTTCATGTCCTACAGGAGTTGTCACCCAAGTCCTCCAGGGCTTCTGGTTTGCAAATCAGGTCAACTCCCCACATTAAGAAAGTGCTAGGACCAGAATCTTTGCTGAGCTGGGCCCTGTGACACCCTCCTGGCCCAGCCGCTCCCCTCGGGTGGGCAGGGGCCGGCCGTCGGTGACAGGCTTCCCCTGCCCGCAGGTTCGCCACGCAGGAGCGGGACGCGCTGCTGCTCTACAACGGCCGCTTCAACGAGAAGCACGACTTCATCGCGCTGGAGGTCGTGGGCGAGCAGGTGCAGCTCACCTTCTCGGCAGGTAGGCCCCCGGTCCCCTCCCCGCGCTCCTCCCGCCTGCAAGCCTCTGAACCCTGATTCTGCATCCCGGATCAACCCCGGAGGGAACCCAGCACTCACAGAGCCATTCACGGCAGTGTTCATAGCGTGGAGAAGAGAAGGCGGCCTCTGTTTTCAGACTGGGGAATCCTTACGTAAAGTGTGGTGCAGCTGGAGACTCATTTCCTTCCTCTGCACTGCGGCTGGGGCCCAAGGCCTCTGTGCGTGCCAGGAAGGGCTTTCCCCGGCCTCGGCCCCAGGGCTGTGCCCTGAAAATGCTGGGAGGGCCGAGCACACGGGCTGGAGCCAGCGAGGTTGCTGAGCAAGCCGTCCGGGGGCTTCAGCTTCCGCATCTGGGCTTTTCCTGCCACAGGGGGTGTCAGTCAGCTTTCTGTGCCAGGGAGAAAAGTACCCGGGATAAACAGCATAGGAGAGGACAGGTCCAGGCCCAGGATAAACAGCGTAGGAGAGGAAAGGTCCATCCCGGGATAAACAGCGTAGGAAAGGAAAGGTCTAGGCCTGGGATAAACAGCGTAGGAGAGGACAGATCCAGGTCTGGGATAAACAGCGTAGGAGAGGGAAGGTCCAGGTCTGGGATAAACAGTGTAGGAGAGGAAAGGTCAGGCTGCTTCACGGTTTCAGTCCAAGGCACTGGCTGGGGTGAGGCGATGCGGGACCTCATGCGGCTGGGAGCACAGCGCTAGGGGAAGCCAGGTCCCGGGGTCCCTCCAGGGACAGCCGCCCTTTGAGCCACTTCCTCCACCAGGCCCTGCCCTTAAAGGGCCGCTGCCGCCCCATAGCACTGGGGGCTCACACCGCGGGCTACACTTCCACCCCGCGCTGTAGCAGGCGATCTCAGGGCTGAGTCAGCAGGTGATCGGGAGGTTCTGTCCCTGGAGCCCTGTGGGCCTCGTGTGTGTAATACCAGCAGTCGGCTGGTTTCCCACCTGGGGAGAAGACACAGCAGGCCAGAACACTGGCGGACTGTACCAGGAGAGGTGGCCTCGGCCCGCCAGGCCCAGGAGGGGACGCCGCGCCGCTCTGTTCTAGGGTGGCTTGCTGGGGATGGTGTCCCTGCTGGGCCCTGTCCTCTTGTGCATGTGGAGCGCCTCCTTTTCCCCTGCTTGACCAGGACCTTGTGCCAGACCCTCAAGGAGGTTCCAGAAATGCAGATTCCAGGCACCACCCTGGCGCCACAGGAGCAGAGCGCCCTGGGGAGAATGCCCTAAACACCCCAAACCAAGATGTACGAGTCGGGTGCACCGGGACCTCACCATGTAGCCTACTGTGTTACGGACTTTAAAAGGCCAGGCACAGTGGTGCACACCTGTAATCCTAGCACTCTGGGAGGCTGAGGCAGGAAGATCATAAGTTCCAGGCCAGCCTGGGTAACTTAGGGAGCCCTTGTCTTAAAAAAATAAGAAAGGGCTGGGGATATAGCTCAGTGTGAAGGCCCTGGTTCAGTCTCGACACTGCAAGCAGAAGAACTGGAAGAAAAGCAGCAAAGGTGAGGGAAAGGCACGTGACACGGTGAGTGAGCCAGGACGAGGCAGGTACACTGTGGGTTGGTGCGGGCATCCAGGGCTCCCTGCAGGGAGAGGACGCTTGGCACCCCGTGAGTGTCCCTTCTTCGCGCTGTTTTACATTTTTCACATTTAAAAAGTGATCAAGAATTACTTTTGTAATCAGAAAAGCAAAGCAGGCTGGGGATACAGCTCAGCGGCACAGCGCCTGTCTGGCAAGTGCGAGGTCCTGAGTTTGATGCCCGACACAAAAAAAGAAAAGAAAAGCAGAGCAGTGGCCATCAGGGGGACTGTGCCCCAGTGGCTGGGTGCCTGCGACTTGCTCCTGCCGGAGGGGTGACCCCTGCCGGCCAGACCGTGTTGGGCTGCAACCTCGCTGTGGGTGGGGCCTCCTTAGGTGCCTTGGGGGCGGGGCCCCAGCCCCTTGTGTCCTCCGTCCTGCAGCACCGGAGCTCCCATAACCTGTGCTCGCTTTGCACCTCCCTCCCGTCAGGTGAGACCACGACCACCGTGACACCGCAGGTCCCCGGGGGCGTGAGTGACGGGCGCTGGCACTCGGTGCAGGTCCAGTACTACAACAAGGTAGGACGCTGTCCTGAGCCTCCTGCCCCGGGGCAGGCAGTGTGGGGGCCCTGCTGGCTTTCCCATCCTGGGACCCTGATACCGAGTCGTTCAAATCCACATGGGAAAAAACCAGGAGTCATTGAGGGAGCGAGCGGCCATGAAGCGGACCCAGCAGTGCCCTGCCCTGGGCTGGGAGCTGGATGCCTGCAGCTGCCACGGCTGGAGTCGTCCCGGGGAGGGTGCCAGGCCACCTGTGAAGCCCCAGGGCCATACTGTGCACCGGTGCCCGGGCATCTCTGGGGAGGGCCTCGTGGGCAGCTTCTCCTTGCCGTTTATCAGCCACCGAGGCAGTGTGCTCCGGGTTTTGCATGAGAAGGCTTCCTGGGCCTGGTTCCCTGCTGGGATGCTCTGGTGCCTTGGGTCAGTGCTGGCCTCCCTGCCCCTCACTGAGCCTAGCTGCAGCCCAGGGCCTCCGCAGTGCTGGACAGCAGAAAGGCCTCCTCTGTGAGGCCTGGATCTCCAGGAGGACCTTGCCTGAGGTGACACGGTGGACATGGGGCCCCCACCCCAGCCGGGGCTGAGGGCCCAGGGCCGGCCTTGCCTGTTGCCCTGTCACTGTCCTTCCCAGAGCCGCCCCCACGTCTGCCCTGCACTTCCCATGGTCCTCCGTTGCCCCCGACAGGCTGCAAGAAGCCATGACCGGTACGGTGACCACTGCTCTTGTCCTGCGTCCCCGCTGGGGGAGCCGTCCCATGGCTTGGGCAGTGGGTGCTGCGCCTGTGTGGCCGGGGAGGGGAGAGGAGGCCCTCAGAGGGCTGAGTGTGCCTGGGGGGCAGACTGGCAGGGTGGCCGGGGCCCTGGTCGGGAGCCTGCCCTGCTGTGGCGATGGTTCCGTCCAGCTGTGGGGTGCGGTCAGCAGGGCACAGCTGCCCGACGAGTGCAGGGTGGGGGCTCCGCCAGCTACCCCCGTCCGTCTGGTCCTATTTCTGGGCAGGAAGGGCAGCCCCACGGCTTTGGGGGCAGGGCCACCCTGTGAAGGACGCCCACCTGCTGTTCACCTGCCCCCATCCCTGGGCTGGGTGGGGTCTGAGGTGTGGTTTTTTCTTTCCACACCGTTTGCAGCGGCCTCTTTCCCGTTTCAGCTGCTCTAGAGAATGGTGCTCCTCTTTTGGGTCTCCCCAGGGCCCCCCACGCGAATTTCTACCCCATGACGAGCCCTTTAGGTTGGGTGGTTCCAGCTGTCCTCTGCCACCCAGGAAGGTCCTCTGCATGCAGCGCCCAAGGGACAACCACTCCCTCTGGGTGCCTGGAGGGGACACCCAGCTCCTGTGCCTTGGGAGGGCGAGGCCGGTCTTGTGTCCCCCAGTGAGGGCTGCAGTCCCCGAGTGCAGTGGCAGCTCTGTCTGATGTCAGGGCCGGGCTCTGCCCCAGAGAGCAATCCGGACAGACAGGCGAGGCCGCTCCAAGTGCTCTGTCCGTGTGTCTGGACGTTTCCCTGGGGCTGGCAGGATGACAGGGACTCATGGGGGCAGTAGAGCGACACCACGACCGAGGACCAGCGTGAGGGTCCGTGATCGCGTGAGTCAGATAGGTCCTGGTTTTGTCCTGATACTGCACAAACTCTTAAAGGAAAAATGAGCCCCGAGAGGGACGCCACCTCAGAGCCCCGGCCCTTCTCAAACGCTCTGGCAGCTGGAGGTGGACGTTGCCAGCAGGCTGAGCACCCAGGTGGGTGAGGCCTTGGGGACAGGCGGAGGGGCTATGGGCCTGTCCGTTGTGAGGTTCAGGGACCACCGCCACCAGGGGCTTTGTGCTGGGGCTGAGGGGCGGGAGGGAGGTGATGCTGCCAGGGCCTCCGCGCCAGAGGCGACAGCAGCAGCCGGCAGCCTGTGCCCTGGCCGGGGGCACCCACGTGGACACGTCAGCCCAGGTGCTGCCTCACCATCCTGCACCTGCCCTCCCTTTCTACCTCCAGGGTTGTGCAGAGGCGTGAGCTCGCCACATGCTGGCCACTGGGCGGTCCCTTGGGCCGGGTAGCCAGGGCGGGTCAGCAGGAAGGGGAGAATCTCCGGAAGCCATGCTTCCGTTTCCAGGGCCGAAGGGCACTGTGGGTGTGGAGCGATGCCCTGAGGGCAGGATTAAGCCCCTCCGAAGCAGCCTTTCTGGCCAGAGGGTATTTTGCTTCCTTCCGAGCGGGCCTGGGTGGGGCTGAGTGGGCGGGACCGTGGGGACCACTGGTAGGGATGACAGCCTCCGTCTGCTGGGGGGGGGGGGGGTGTAGGGCTGTGTCTTCTGCCCCGTGGTGGCTCTGACAAACACACGCAGGGACACTCTTCACTGCTTGGGGCCACCTGGCCCAGCAGGACTCGGGGACACACAGTTCCCAGGGAAGGAAGGAGGCCGGATGCAAGTCAGGGTGCACAGGAGGGATGGATGTGCGCCGCCTGCCCTGGGAAGGTCTCTGTAGCGTCATCGATGCCGTCCCTGGTTCTTCCCCTGGCAGCAAGAGTGGGTGACCTCGGAAGAGCGGGTGACCTTGGAAGATGCCGAGAGGAGGTGGCATTGGGACAAGATGATTTGCAGAGAACTGGCTGGGGCTTGGGTGGGCCTGACGTCTCCAGAGGACAGAGGGGCATCCCTTCCCCCAAGCATATCCACCCCCCAGAGCTGCCTCCCTCGTGATCACCCCCTCCGCTCCGTGCACCCACCTGCACTGGGGTGCTTGGATGCTTAGGAAAACACGTTTGGTAAATTGAGCGTCCAGCTTCCGGGCGAGGGCGGGGATGCTGGTGCTGGGGTGTCCCTTTCCGTGTCTTGCTCTCCGCTGCTCTTCCCACCCCTGAGGCCCCTGCCTGTCCCTTCCATCCGAGACCACACGAGTGTGCCTCGTGGGAGCCCTCTGGGACCTCTGCGCCTGCTGGTCTGTAGGAACCTAAGCGCTGCCCAGCTGGCTGATGGTCAGGCGCCCCCAGGAAGCAGATGGGGCACAAACAGGGTGATCCCAGGAGGGCGACAACAGAGGGCAGGGCTGGTGTGGGGCAAGGGGCCAGGCTGGCCGCAGTGGCCCTCAGTCCAGGAGACCAAGGAGATAGGATGGAGAGGAGATAGGGACAAGGACCTCTGCCAGGCTGCACCCAGCCTGCCACCCTCCCTCTCGCTTCCTGCTGGTCTCCCCATTGCCCAAAGCCAGTGGAGGCCAGGGAACCCCTCCCCGCCTCAGGCGGGGGGTGGGCAGGCGCAATTTACTTTTTGTTTCTGCTGAACTTGGCGTTTTCAACAAGAGGCTCTGTGGGTCTGATTCACCCCCAGCAAAACCACAGAGCGTGGCTCTCTGGGCTCTACTCCAGGAAGGTCTGAAGGCTGAGCCCCGCCCAGCCCCATCCAAGCCCCCCAGGAGGAGCGGGACCTCCGAGGTCACTTCTTCTCACAGACCTGCGTTTTCCCGAGGCCATGTGCAGGATGGATAAAGGTGTGCGCCAGCAGTGCCTGTGGGAAGCTTCGTGCGAAGTGTGTTGAGGTTGTTCCTTAATACCTGAAACTCAGGTTCTGCCGCCAGGGTTCTGTGGTTTGCACAGCTGTCCCGTTCCGCATTCGTGGGGTGGGAGAGGCTCGCTCCTGTGGAGACGGCTCTGATGTGGACACGTGGCCGCTCTTCCCGGAGGGACATGAGTGGAAGCCCAAGGCCCCCGCACTGTCACCTGACAGCTGTTCCTCAAGGAACACTCACGGCTGCCTGCAGGGGTCCCATCTGCGCCCCTCCCCTTGATGGGGAGCCTCACTGGCTGAGGCCACGAGCATGTCAGCGAGGGGCTCTGAGGACCCTGGAGACCGTGACAGCTTCCGCCCACTGCAGCCGGGACCTCAGGCTGTGTCTCGCAGAGCCAGGACGCCCCGCCGGCCAGTGGACTCGCACGGCCTGGGAGACTCGAACAGCTTGGGTGTCCGACGTGACACCACCCTGAGCAGCACGGCCCGTGGCAGACATGGAACACGGGTGGAGTGGCAAAGGCAATGCCAGGGGCGAGAGTCCGGGGCAGATCAGTGCGGAAGAGGGGAGACGCACACCAGGTGTCTCCCCTGGCACTGTTGACGCTCGGCGCATGGCTCTGTGGGGTCTGTCCTGCACGGTGTCCCAGGCCAGCAGCTCCTGGTGCCAATCAGAGTGAAACCAGAGCATCTCCAGTTGCCGCCAGATGTCCCCTGAGGGAGGACTGTCCCCACAGGACATGGGAGGAGGGGTAGGTCAGCTGGGGAGTTGGGGTGGCCTGGGGTGCCGGGTGGAGCCGCGTGGCTGGCTTTAGGGGTCCTGGCTCAGGGACAGCGCCCTGTGGCTGTGCTTCCGTGATAGCTGCTGCCTGAGGCCGCGGCGCCCTCCCGCGCGGCTGCGGAGGGGTCTGGGCAGCCCTGGCTGAAGCCTCCTCCAGGTCTCCGCCTCTGACTGAGCAGAGGTCCGTGCGCTGGAGATCCCGTGACCTCGAGGTGACCTCCGGATCCCTGTGGGGGAATTGCCCCGCCCTGGCTGGGGTTCACATCCGGTGCTGTTCACAGGTCTGCAACCTCCTGGGCCTGCGTGGTGGCCCGTGCAGCCCCAGACCCTGGGGAGGACAGCTGTGCCGCCTGCCCCGCCCCCCGTTCGTTCATCCAGCAAGCACTGACCTGCTGTCTGCCGCACGCGCACCAGAGGAAGGGCTGAACCCCTCGCCCTCGGGGAGCCCGAGTTTCGGGGGGCGCGTCGCAGGTGGTGCTGTCGCGCGGGCCCCACCTGTGGGGAGGTGGAAGCAGCCTGGGGCCAGTGTGGGCAGAGTGGGGGTGCGCACCCACAGGAGGAGCGCAGACTGTACTTGGCAGGAGCCTCGGCACCCCTGGCAGTGCTGGGCTGAACGGTGGTGGAAGCTCTGTCCTGGCCCTTTGGGGAGCCGTGTGGTGCAGGCTGCGTCCCTTTGGGAGAAAGACAAGGAGCGGCCGTGAACGAGTGCTCCCCTGCCCGGCACTGGGGAGCAGTCCTGGGCCTCTGTGCTGAGCTGCCTTCCCAGCCCTTTTTTATCTTTTATTTAGAGATGAGGTTTCTCTAGACCTTGGACTGCTCCTGCCTCAGCCTCCTAGCAGGCTGGGATTGCAGACGTGTGCCTCCGCGTCTGGCTGTCTTAGCGCTCCTTTATGTCCTCTGTGCTGTTTTGCACATACCCGTGTGACACAGCAGGACCCAGCGGTGTATGTGCCTGTGCGCCATATTTTTAAAATTTTCTACTTTGACAAATCATATTTCAAGAACATGCAAGATAATGGCAGTGACCTTTTATGAAGGTCTTTAAACTTTACAAAGTGCGGAAAGCCCTCGGGAGGTGTCTCGGCACTGCTCCCTGCCCAACAGAGGGGCACAGGCTGGGTGCCCCGCTTAAGGCCCACGTGTGGGTGGGTTTGAGAGCCCAGGGCCGTGTTAGCGTGTAAGCGCTGGTGACCCGCAAGGCACAGCAGGAGTCCAGAGTGAGCCAAACTTTCTCTCCGGTGGGGATTCCTGCTCGGCAGCCGGGGGTGTCCCGTGCCCTCTGGGTATCCGCTTCCTCAAGGGCTGCATTCCCCAGCTCCCGCGGGTCCCCGGACCTTATCCTACATCTCAGGCTTGGAATGCTACCACCTCTGGGAAGCCAGAGCAGCTAATAAAACCCCCCGAGGGGCCTGGGGGACCACTGAGCCCCGTGAGAGAGGTGCCGCTGTGCCCTCCAAGAGCTGCGGCCTTCATCCCCCTCGCCGGAGAACGAGTGGCCTGGTTTCCTTTGCTAAACACGACCTCGTGGGGTGGTTGAAAACCACCTGCCAGGGAAACTTGATGGCACCCAGAAGTGTGGCCCGCCCACCTGAGGCCGTTGTGGCCGGTGACCCCTTGTGGAAAGTCCCCAGGCCGAGGTCCCCCGTTAGGGACTTCCTGTTGGTGGAGGGGGCTGTTTGTTTCCTCCACCAGCGTCTGACCCCACTTCCCAGCCCAGTCTGAAGCACGGTGTGCGGCGGTCCCTCTGGCTCCTGCCTGGCTCCTCCTGGCCTGGCCGCGGCCACCCTCGGCACCAGGGTGCTGGCTCATGGGTGCCCACTTTGTGCTGGGCACGCATGTGCGTCAGCTCACGCCATCCTCCCTCCCTAGGGGAGACAATGAGAAACTGAGGCACGGGGCAAGTGACTGGCCGGGGCTAGGCCTGACCATCGCCCCGGGTCTCTCCCACTCCTGTACCCCACTCCCCGCTCCGATGTCTCATGTCAGGGGACAGGAGGTGGCAGGTCCTGGGGACTCTGGGGACAGAGGCTCTTGGGTCCTCACAGGAGTGGACAGGGCTTTGTGAGGCCGTGTAAGACTGTGCAGTCTGTGTACACGGCCCAGGTGTGCGTGTCTGACGGTGTGAGTGTGCGTGGGCAGGGGGAGGGCAAGTTTGGGCCCGTGGGCGTAGCGAGTGTCAGTGTGCGAGCGTGCGCGGCTAGCAAGCGTGTGCTTCCCGGGGAGGGTGGCCGAGAGGGCACATGTGAATTCACGAGCGTGCACTAACCGGGCACTTGACTTTTCCCCTCAGCGTCTCCCCCTGCCCCAGTGCGGCGCCTTGTAAGATGAGCCTCACTCTGTGCACGGGGGTCCTCAAGCTCCGTCCTGTCTTTCCAGGCACTTGGCCACCAGGCTTGTGGGTGAGTCAGGGCCCACCTAAGTGCCCTGCGCCCGGGCCACGCGGAGGGGGCGTCGTGCCTGCTGCCCCTCCCTGGCTGGAGTAGCAGACTGACAGACTGATGCGCACCTTGCCCCGGAGGGCAAGGGTCCCCGAGAAGCTGGGTCTGCGTGGCCCCCAGGAGGAACACTCCCCGTGTTGCCTCGGCTCCCCAGGCAGGTGCTGCTGATAACCTGAGGAGCTCTGGGTCGGAACCCTCATCTGTAGGGGAGAGAAGGACGCCCCAGAACGTCCTGTGGGACTCCTGGCCTGAGCCCCGGCTGCAGAGGCGCCCCTGGGCCCGGGCGGCGGTACTCTCTTCTGGTGTTTCAGCGCAGCGCTGTCCTCAGGAGGCTCCCAGGAGCTCCGTGCGTGCGGGGACAGGTCCTCAGGAGTCCGATTTCCCCCCTGCGGGCTTGTGTCCCCCTGCCGTTGTCCCTCTGCACCTCGCTGCAAGTGAGAGGTGACAGGGCGCAGCCTGGGTGCCGCCTGTGGCCCCCGGCACGCATTCCCCGGGTGCAGCCCCCTGTGCGCGCTGTGTCGGCAGCGTCACTTAATCATTGCTGACACCGGGCAGGAATCCATTCACGTCCCGGCTCGCCTCTGGGGTCCGGTTTCTCGTGCTCCTCCGTGCGCTGCCCCCCGAGCTGTAATTGGACCCTGAGGCCCCAACGCAGGATCCTTGGCAGCAGCAGGTTAAAAGGCTGCAGAAACATGAGCGCTCCCGAGGACCCAGGGCTTTTGTGCACACACAAAACCGCTCCTCGGCTGCTGGACAGCCCGGCAAAGCCGCCGGGAGGAGGGACACGGGGAGGAGGTTGCTGCCAAGCGAGGGTGCTGCCCGGCACTCCTGGTCTAGGCAGATCCGCATGCCTTTAGGGACCCTTCTTCGGCTGCACAGCACCCCCAAGATTTCCCAGGCAGAGGAGTGGATGTTGGGAGGCCTTTTTATGGCTGAGTAGTATTCCACCATGGGGATAAGCCGGTTTCCCCACCTGCCCAGCCGTGAGCCTTGGGCTGCCTGCCCCTGTGGGCGCTGTGAGCCTGTGTGAAGCGGCTTTGGGGGCCCTGGGCTCGTTCTGTGCCCTGGGCCTGGGCAGGTTCTCTGTCCTCCGAGACCCCTGCTGCTCGTCCCGCTCTGCCCTGAGGGCTTGGCATCAGTGGCTGGCGGAAGCAGCCGTGTGTGGTGATCGCTGCGGCTCTGCACGCGCGGCCTTGCGAAGCCCTCCCGTCCCCAGAGATGTGCGTTCCGAGCCACAGGGAGGTGTCTGGCTCCGCTCAGGGGGGCTCTGTTCTCCCCGGTCGGCGGCTGGAGTCTCTGGGCCCGGTGAGCACTGGCACACTTGCCTGGCAGCCTGCATGTCGGGGAGAAAGTGGGCGTTTTGCACAGAACGGGGATGTGTGTCCCACGGGAAGCGCTTACGAGGCACCGATCTCGTAAGGGTTCAAGCAGTGACCACGACCCAGGTGCCTGGTGTGTGAAAGCCTCCCTCACCTCTCCCTAAGGAGAGGGACCCAGCTGTCCTGTGGTGACGTCACCCCCAAAGTCCCTGTGACACAGACAGGATGAGTCTTCTAATAGTAAATCCTTATCCTGTACATGGAGGAGCCAAGGAGCATCAGTGGGTCTCATTCAAGTCAGAGGCTGCTTGTGGAAAGAGGAAAGCTCGGCCAGGGTGGCCATGTACAGCCATGCAGGCTGCGCACTGCACCGCTTCCAGGGATGCTGCCTGGGTGGAAGAGCCCCTGGAGTCACACTGCCCAGATGCCTGGTTGAGCTCCTGTTACAGCAGCTCAAGTGCCACTTTCCCTCCCACCCAGGGCCCTCAATCAAGCGGGTGCCTTGTTCCCTTAGAAAAAAAACTAAGGTTTCTCTTTGGGTGAACTATATAGTCATTCCCGATGAAAAGGCAGTGAGGATGCTCTAATCGGTTCTTAGTTCTTACAACCGTTTCTGGCAATGTCGTAAAGAAGCCTGAGACTGTGCTGCATTATACACTCAAACTGACCCCAGAACCGGCCAGATGTGAGGGCTGGGGCTCCGGGACCTCACGTGACCTGTCCCAGGCTGTGTGGTGGAGGCTGGATGGCAGGTCGTCTGGGAGATGCATGTGGGGTCCTGGGAGGGTCGCCTGGCCTGGGGTTGGGGAGCCACTGCCCGGAGAAGCAGAGCGTGCAGACCCCGAGGACACTCGGGGGGCCACAGGGGCCTCGGGCTCTTGGAGAGGTGGGCTCGGACCACCGGAGGGGACAGCCAGGTGTGAGGGCACTTAGGCCGGGCCGGGCAGCGGCGTCCGACATTCGTACCCAGATTGCCCTGGGCAGGGCTGGTGAGGAGCCCAGGCTGGGAGACGTCCCCAGAGAGCAGTGGGGTGTTCGGAAGGGATCGGGGCTATGCCTGTGTCCCGGCTGCTGCACAGAGCTCAGCTGGGCTCTGAGGAGGAAGTGTCCCCTCACACACAGGCCGGCGGCTGGGGCTGGCCTTGGCCTTGGCCTGGGCTGTCCAGTCGCTGTCTGTCACGACAGCCTCCGTGTCACTGGCTCCTCCTCCTTGCTGTCCCCCGGGCCCCATGGAGGCCTCATTAGCCCATGGCCGCACCATGTCCCCATCCAGGCCCCCCATCCCGGGGTCCCCACAGGTTGGGGCCGGCGGGCACCGGGCAGGCGGCTGACCCTCTGTGCCCTCTCTTCCCACAGCCCAACATCGGCCGCCTGGGGCTGCCCCACGGGCCGTCCGGGGAGAAGGTGGCAGTGGTGACCGTGGATGACTGTGACACCGCCGTGGCCGTGCACTTCGGCAGCTACGTCGGGAACTACAGCTGCGCTGCCCAGGGCACCCAGAGCGGCTCCAAGAAGTGAGCGTCCCGGGACCCAGGGGCCCTGCCCGCTGTAGCGGCCGCGCCAGATGCCCGTTGCCTTGGGCCATGCTTTCCATCCCCAGGGCCGGGCCACCTGCTCTCTGAGATGCTAGAACCTTCTAGGATAGGTCCCCTGAGAGTCTGTCAGGGGCGGGCCAGGGCAGCCCGCAGGCTGTGACGGCGGCCTGGAGATCAACCCAGCCCCGCCTCCAAGGGCTCGTCCATTGAGCGTGGCTCCGTGAGCAGGAGTGACCCTGTCTGCGCTGGTCCCCCCGGGCTTGGCCTGACTCAGGGATGAGGAATCCCAGTGTGGACACGCACAGCCATTGTCATGTTGCTCCTTTTGTGACACCAGCCTGAGAAGGTGTGTGTGGCCACTGCACGCAGTGCATGCCGGGGACACCAGGTGGCTTTCGTGTGGGCCACACGGGGTCCCCAGTGTGCTGCTGTGGGCCTGGGATGGCCGCCACCTTCTGCTCGGCCCTCCTGGCACCGCCATCCCCCGGGCCTCCATGATGGGCCAGGCGGAGGTCTGGCGGTGACACCTTGCGGCCCCCCTTCCATCTGGGGAGGGGGTGGATGCGCAGGCTGGGTGGCGCTGGGGTCACGACAGACCCTGAAGCCGCCCTCTGTCAGGATGTGGGGTGAGGCTGGAAACGGAGGCACAGGGAGGCTGTGGGGGGCCGGATGTGGCCCCAGCAGGGGCGTCCGGGCGCCCTTGGTCATGGCGTGTGGCGACCGCCCGCTCCGTGAGGGCAGTGTCCGTCGCTGGCGGCAAAGGCTGCCCCCTCCACCTGGACGTCACAGAGCCCGGCTTTGCCTCCCCAGGTCCCTGGACCTGACGGGGCCCCTGCTCCTAGGCGGCGTCCCCAACCTGCCGGAGGACTTCCCCGTGCGCAACCGGCAGTTTGTGGGCTGCATGCGCAACCTGTCCATAGACGGCCAGAGCGTGGATATGGCCGGGTTCATCGCCAACAACGGCACCAGGGCAGGTGCGTGCGGCGGCCCGGGCAGTGCCCGCCAGACCCCAAGGGGCACACCGGAGTCCTCTTCCACGTTGCTGGGGGCTCTCCCCTGCTGGGGCGGGGACTCTGGAATGTGCCGCCCTTGGTGTGAGGCCAAGGCTGACCACAGGGCACCCCGATCCTGGGACTTGCGTGTACCCCTGATGCCCAAGTCCACTGCCCCCATCCCCCGGGCACCCGGAGCCTGGTGTGAGTGAGCTGGGCGGCCCAAAGTCCTGTCCTCAGCCGCAAGTGGGGCGCACTGAGGCTGTCCCCCTCTGCCTCACCAGGCTGCGCCGCCCAGAGGAACTTCTGTGAGGCTGCCGTGTGCCAGCACGGGGGCACCTGTGTGAACCGCTGGAGCACCTACCTGTGCCGCTGCCCGCTGCGCTTCGGCGGGAAGAACTGCGAGCAAGGTGAGGCTGGCGCCCCCAGCCGTGGCCCGGGCTGCACGGGAGCGAGCGGCCGAGTTGGGGGCGGGGGTGGGGGCGGGTCGGCGGCTCCATGGTCCCACCTCCAGGATGCCCCTAGCTGGCCACTTTTGGATGCACTGTAAGGGGTGCTGGGCCTCCCTCCCTGCCCCACGCCTGCATCCTGTGCCATCATAGCCGGGATTTTAGCAATGAATCCAGTTTGAAGCTGTACAATACTAAGTAGGCATCTTTTTATTTCCTTTTGGTGGTACTGGGGCTTGAATCCGAGGCTTTTGCACTGAGCCACATCCCTAGCCCTTTTTATCAAATAAGTGTTTTTTTGTTTGTTTGTTTGTTTGTTTGTTTGAGACCAGGTTTTACTAAGTCACAAAGTTGTCCAAGCTGGGCTTGAAGTTGTGATCCTCCTGCCTCAGCCTCCCAGAGTGCTGAGATTATAGGCTTATGTGCCTGGCTGGTCTCTTCATTTTTAAAATCACCAACACTCATTGCTTAAAAGCAGGGCAGTTAGGCCAGGTCCGGGTGGACGTGCCCAAGGCCCCATGTTGAAGATTCCCAGAGCCCACGGGCACGGCTCTGAGAAGCAGCCACTGAAACCACCCACCCCCCAGAGCATGAGGTGGCACCTGCTCCTGTCCTGTGGCCCAAGCCCAGGCAGAGCTGGCTAGCGGCTATGCACCCCAATTCGCCTCAGCCTGGGTACCCATGGGGCCGTGTCTGTTTTGGGGGACCGATGGGACCCAAGACCGCCCCAGATTCCCAGGGGAGAGTAGCTGGGTGCCACCGTGGTGTGCTCTTGGGGTGCCCGGTTCCGTCCAGTAGGGTGGGCAGGAGGCGGCGGCAGCACGAGGCCGGTTTCCTGGGCCGCGCTGCACCGCCGGCACAGCTGACTGCGGGTGTGCGGTGTGACATTGTGCCATCAGCCTTTTCTGTGACAACAGGAGCGTCTTCCCCTGCGGCCCTGCAGGGGGTCAGGCCGCCCTGGCCTCGAGCTCAGGTTGCCGGCAGCAGTGACTGGGTGTGGCCGGTCCAGCCACCGGGTGTCCCGACTCAGCTGCCCGACTTAGGCTCCCAAGGGCAGGAAACACATGCGCGGTGCTCTCGAGGCGGAGCCATGCTGGCCGGGGAGCCCTGAGCTGCAGTGACTTTAAGGGCTCCGGTGGCGGCAGGCCCACTTGACGGCAGGCCAGGCCACGCCACGGGTGAGGGCAGCAGGAGCCGGCACAGCGGGTTTCCAAGGTGGGGCTGTGTCCCCCGCCCTCTCCCAGTGCCCCAGTCACCGGGGACCTCAGCCAGCGGCATTAGCGTCTCCCCGCTCCAGGAGCAGAGGAACAGCAGCGCCCTCCGCAGGTCACGCTGCAGGCGGCATCTGTGCCCATGGTGGGTGTGCCACCCTGACTGCAGCTGCACGCTGTCCACACCAAGGGGCTGTGGCTCATGGCATCCTGCCCCACCCATAGCCCCAGCCTCGGCCCCGCAGGGACGGGGGACAGGAAGGCTAGGCTCACGGTGCCACCCCCCCCAAGCCTCTGCCTCTTGGTCAGCCAGATGCTCCTTGGCACACCTGGGAGGGGATGGAGGCCTCAGGCCTGGCCTCTGCCCGACAGGGACGCTCTTGAGGTTGGTGTCCGCAGAGCTTTTGCTGGATTCGGGAGAGCAGGCTTGGTGGGTGTGCAGTGTGACATTGTGCCGTCTGCCTCAGCTACAGTCTGAGGCCGGCCTTTGTGTAAGAGTGGCCTAGGATCACTCCAGCCCTGTCCTGTCCCTGGCAGCTGGGAAGGGTATCAGAGGCCCACCTGATTTGGGGAAGAGTCCTGAGGTCCCTGTCTGTGCCCACAGTCATGCCCCACCCCCAGCGCTTCAGCGGTGAGAGCATCGTGTCCTGGAGTGACCTGGACATCACCATCTCCGTGCCCTGGTACCTGGGGCTCATGTTCCGGACCCGGAAGGAAGAGGGAGTGCTCATGGAGGCCACCGCTGGGGTGTCGTCCAGGCTGCATCTCCAGGTGAGCAAGGCCGCGTGCCGCCCGGGCGCCTGCGGGGCGGGCAGTGTGTGGGAGAGGGACAGGCACGGGGTCTCCCAGGACACCGCAAGGGGCATCTGCCGCTCACCCGCCTCCTGCTCTGCCCTCCTCTGGCGTCTCCAGTGGGAACGAAGACGGAAACGTGAGCAGCTTTCTCGGGCTGCAGCACAATGAGGCCATTCAGGGCCCAGGAGCGCAGGCTCGTGTGCAGCTCGGTTCCCACAGGATTCCCACCGGGAATTCCTCTCCCGCCCTCCCTTTCCTGACAGCCCAGAGAGGTGATCCTGGTGCAGCCCCGGCCAGGGGAGGCTGAGAGCGGGCACAGGCCTTGGACCCTGCGTGGCCCTGGCCTGTGCACCTTGGTCCGGAGGCTCTGAGAATGCTATGTGTTCGGTTCTGCTGTGTGGCCTTCTCCACCTCGGAGGCCATTTTCGGGGACCCCATTTTCCAGTCTTTTGTGTCATGAAGTTTCCACTTAGGTCTGCGGGCTCCAGAGGGATTCATGAGAAACAGAGTTGTTTTCCTTGGTGGAAAAGGCCCGGCCTTGTCTTTCCTTGCCTCTGCCCTTGCCTCGCCCTGGGGGTGGCCATGGGGTGCCCACCTTGTCCTGCCCTGGGGTGGGAAGGTTTCACACGTGTAACTCTCAGAGACCCCCAGGACCCCCGAGAGGAGCCAGCCCGGGCCCATGGCCAGAGGCCCTCACATCTCCAGGTGGTTTCCATCCGCAGCGACCTCGGGGACAGACGTCCTGTGTGAGCGCTGCAGCCGGGCCCCTCTCTTATCCGTGCTCCCCTACACAGCTCGCTTTGAGGCGTGCGCTGGCCCACTTCTCAGCCCGACTCAGGGCGGCCCTTAGGAGCAGAGCCGAGCCTGGGCCGGATACGCCGCCCCCGAGAGAAGAGACCCATCACTGGGTTCCTTCTTTGTCTCCTCCTTCCTCCTAGGCCTTTGTCAAGTGTGTATACCTGCGTCTGTGTGTGTTTCCGTGCGTATGCACGTGTGCACGTCTGTGTGTGTCTCTGTGTACATGCCTGTGAATAGCACACGTCTGTGGGCACCGTTTGCACGTGTGTGTACATCTGTTGCATGCGTCCATGTGCGCGTGTGTGCGTGTAGTGAGACCCGGGCACACGAGGTCGGGTGCACCCCGGCTTCTTCCCACAGGTCGTTCACAACTGCAGCAGCGAGAGCCCGAGCTCCTCCCTCCTGGGCTGGACCGCTGCCCGTGGGCCAGCCTGCCCCCTCGCCTCAGCACTCAGGGTGCCGGCTCCGTGTCGGGGGCCCCTCCTGGGCGGGCTCTGGGTGCCACGGTCCCTGTGTGTGGCTCGTTTCTTCTGTGTCCTGGGTGGGCTGAGGTGGTCAGAGGTAAGACCCATCTTAGAAGCTGTTCATCCCAAGCTCCCGTCCCACACAGGGGCGCCACACCTGGGGACTGCGGTGCACGCACGTTAGTGTGACAGGGCCAGGTGCGAGGAGGAGGCAGACGGCTGGGGCCCCCTCCCCTCAGCTCTGTGTCCCGGTTCAGGAGACGGGCGTAGGGCGGGCAGGCGGGCCCCGGACCCGACGGGCCCCTCTGCTCTCCCCCGGCCCTCGCCCGGGCACCGGGCCCCGGACCCGACGGGCCCCTCTGCTCTCCCCCGGCCCTCGCCCGGGCACAGCTCTGCACGGTTTCCACCATGGGCAGCCCCACCCAGCCCGTCTGGACATGCAGGGTGTGCATCGGGGGACTGCAGCCCTGCTCCGTGTCCCTCGTGGCCTGTGATGTCACAGGTCCCTCTGGCCCCAGGCGTGGAAGCCCTTCTGCTAGGGGTGGGGTTTTCTGTGTTGGAACAGATTAAATCGGCCATTTACCACTCGGGAGGAACCGGAGCCCGCCGGTTGTCATGTGGTGGCGCCACCGTAGGAGAAGTGTGAGGCCGGCCTAGCTGACTAAGCAGTGACATGGGCGTAACTTGTCCAGACTGCCAGCCCTCCCTGGCAAGGCCAGGTGTCAGAGTGGCAGAGGGATCTACCGACCCCGGTGGGCACCGAGAAGGTGGCCCTGGATGGTTCCCATAGGTAGTCTTCCAGGCATGCCAGGAATGTTGTGGATGATGTCCACCAGCCCCGTGAGTGCCACTGGATTGCAGGCTGTGTGCACCCGAAGCCCCTCTCACACCCCAACAGCAGGCTGGGCGAGGCTACGTCGTCTCCCGGCCCAGGCACTTCGGGTAATTGCGCTTGGGCGCCCACAGCCACCTGCATTATGCAGCGGGATAAACTGCTATTGTTGGCCGCGTCTCCTAAATCCAGGGACAGACCTCAGGTGGGAACAGCTGCCGCCCGGAGTCCCGGGGCTTACGCTATACATAGCACTTTTGTGTAGACATAACGTTTTTATTGTTGAGCTAATGGCTTCTGAGTTTTATTGGCAAGAACAGTGGGAGAGGATGGCAAGGCGGACTTCTGTAGAACAAAAGGAAACGAACTGCAAACAGGTGAAAAACTATCCTCTGACACTGGCTGTCAATGGAGACCAAAAGCTCAGAATACGTTCGTGATACTACCTTTCTGTTTGGTGGGAGATACTTCGCAGTTTCCATCACGAATCCCGCAGACCTATGGTATAGTTCCGAGTTAGCAAGCGTGAGGTATTTTCTAGTAAGTCATTTTGGCGTTCTTTCCAGCATAATTGCAAGTCAGAGAACTCCCGCTGTATGATTTCAGACCTTTGAGATATGTTGAGACTTGCTTTACAGCTCAGACCTCGTCGGCGTGTGCGAATGTTCCGCGTGTACGGGATAGGAATTTGGGCAGCAGATGTTAGGGGTAGAGTTGTGTGTATGTCCAGGAGGTGAGTGAAGCTCTTTAACTGTGGTGTTCAAGTATTTTCTGTATTTTTTTTTTTTTGCTTTTTTTCGCAGTTACTAAAAGAAGTGAGTTTAAATCTGTAATTTTTGTCAGGGCATAGTGGTACACACTTGTACTCCCAGAATCAGAGGAGGTTGAGGCAGGAGGATCACAAGTTTGAGCCCGCCTGGGGAATTTAGCAACTTAGTGAGACCCAGTCTCACAAGAAAAAGAAAAAAGAAAGGCAAAAACCTTCAGCTTCAATTATAGACTTATCTCTTCTTTTGGAAATCTATATTTGCTTTATAGATTTTGAGACTGTATTATTATTATTATTATTATTGTTATTATTATTGTTATTATTATTATTGAGACAGGGTCTCACTATGCAGTTCAGGCTGGCCTTGAGCTCACTTTGTAGCCCAGGCTGTCCTCAAACTCACACTGATCCTCCTGCCTCAGCGTCCCCAGTGCTGGGATTACAGGTGTGCACCACGACACCTACTGAGGCTATATTATTCAGTGCATTCAAATTTGTAATTGTTTCATCCTCCTGGGCAGCTGGCCCTGTTACCCTGATGGAAGTTCTCTACCTGTAGTAATGATGCTGGCCTTCATTCTGCTCTGTCTCATTTTAACACAACTACGCCAGCTTTCCTTCGGTTGGTGCTTACATAATGTATGTTTTTTATCCTTTTACATTCAGCATTTCTACATTCTCATATTTCTTTCAAGCAGTGTGTTAATAGTTTTTTATAAAGTCTTGTCTGCCTTAACATGGAAGTTATCTTTAGATACAAGTATCTTGGGTTAGTTAAACAATTGCTTCCATTTCTCTTATGTGTAAACATAATAGCTTGATCCTTATCATAAAATGGAACACTTACACCCAGAGTAACAGTGTAACAGTCACCCAAATCTGCTTCTTGCAAAGTTCTGTGGTTCCCACGGCTCTTCTCCAGTCTGGGTTCAGTTCCACTGTCCAGACCCCCCGGGTCTGTCTCCCTTGTTTCTCTTGCTTTTCGAGCACACTATCGTGTCTCCTCACACACGTGGTTATTTTTATTGAGTGCTGGACATTGTACTGAAAAACCTAGAGAGGTGGAAACCAGAAGGGGGTATCTTTATCCTCCACATTTGCTGTGGCAGCGGCTAGGGGCCCTTGCCACCCCCAAATACGCCATGCAGTCACAGAAGGAGGCGCATCGGAGCTGGGCACCCGCTCTGCAGAGTGCTGGTCTGTTTCTCCCAGAGCCCTCAGTGCCAGCGTCAGCTCGGTGCTGGAGAAGCATGTCCAGCGCCCGAGGCTGGCCCTGGGGAGCTGTGCTCGGCGGTTCAGCCCCATCGTGCGCTCCAGAACCAGCTGGCAGTGGGGGGCGGCACTCAGCACCCTCACTTCTGGGGTTCTGCTTCCTCCGGGGCTGTGGCCCTGTGACACTGTACCTGGCGTCCCCCCAGTGCTGCAAGCAGCACGGTGCGTCTCATTCCCCTCACTCTTCTCCGGAGGAGGCCGGTCCAGGCCCCCGGCCCTCTGCTAGAGCAAATGAGACCTGGGTGTCACCCAGGACAGCCTGGCACCAGCTGCAGAGCTGACTTCTGTTTCTTCAGGTGTGTGAAACATGGTGGATTGGGTCTCAACAGACTGAGACACGGTCTGGTTTTAAGCCTGCCTTTTACCCAGCGCCACAGCGGAAGTCTGTTCGTGGGGCTTCGTCGTCTGAGCACCTGCGGGGGTTTTCTGTTTCGTGCTCATTGCACCAATCAGTGAGCGTCTCCTCGCCCTGCAGATCCTGGACAGCTACGTGCAGTTCGAGGTGTCTCACGGCCCCTCGGAGGTGGCGTCCATGCAGCTGTCCAGGTCCCGCGTGACTGACGGCGAGTGGCACCACCTGTTGATAGAGCTGAGGAGCGCCAAAGAAGGCAAGGACATCAAGTACCTGGCGGTCATGACCCTGGACTACGGGATGGACCAGGTAAGCGGGCACTGGCGCCTTCCCTAGAGCGAGCCCCTTTGTCAGGCTCACGGTCCCAGGGTGACCCCTCCAGTGCCGGGACCTGCAGAGCCCTGTGGGTCGGGGGGTGCTGTTTTGCCCCCCGAGTTTGGGTCTCGTGATTTCCAGGATGCTGTCACTGGTGTCTGTGTCCCGTCCACATCGGGGGCTCGGTTCCTGCCGTTGGAACTGGATGTCACCAGCTGGGTTCCCCGTCCTGGGGCTGTAGGTGCCTGCAGCTGGGGCTGCTCAGAGCACAGCTGGCTTGGGCAACAGCTGGGTGCAGTTGCTGGGCTGCAGAGAGAAACAGCGCTGCACCTTAGTGGTGGGCACCGAGTACAGCAGGGGGCGCGGTGAGCCCAGGCCTGGGGGCTGTGGGGCGCTGGGGCGCACCCGGCCCTGTGGGCGGTGGCTGTAATGCACCCCAAATACCTGCCGAGCCAGACAAGGTTTGCAGTCCGCAGCCCCATGAGGTGCGACAGTTCACCAGCCGCACACACTTAGGGGGCGCCTGAGACCCCCAGGAGAATGCATGGTCCTCACCCGGAGCGTAGGGCGCCCTCCGAGCTGCCCCTCTTTGCAGAACACGGTGCAGATCGGGAACCAGCTTCCGGGGTTGAAAATGCGGAGCGTGGTCATCGGGGGCTTGTCTGAGGACACGGTGTCGGTGCGCCGTGGGTTCCGGGGCTGCATGCAGGTACGGCCGCTGCCACCACTCTTGGCTCCGAGAACCCGTGGTCGGTGCCTGCCTCTTGGCGCGCAGCCTCACGCCCCACCTCGTCCCCCTAAACAAGCCCTGCGCCTCCCCCGTGGGGTCCCAGCTGTTGCCGAGGGAGCTATTCACCGAGTGCCTTCGCCCACATGCCCCCCCCCCCCGCCTCCTGCAGCAGGGAACCCACCCCCAGGGGCCTGGCCTGAGCCCAACCTCAGGCTCTGAGCCCAGCGCCCACGTCACCAGTCCCCCAGGGAAGCTGGGGCAGAGGAGCCGCCCCCCAGTGCCAGCTTGCCTCACAGGGGCCGGGGCGGAGCTGGGGTCCCCTTAGCTCCCATTTGCCTCTGGGGTTCTTCCAGCCCCAGGCACCCAGGGCTGAGTCCGCCTCCCGCTTGTAAACGCAGGGAGTGAGGATGGGGGAGACGTCCACCAACATCGCCACGCTGAGCATGAAGGGCGCCCTCAAGCTCAGGGTGAAGGATGGCTGCGACTCGGAGGACCCCTGCGCCTCTAGCCCCTGCCCGCAGCACAGCCGCTGCCGTGACACCTGGGACGGCTACTCCTGTGACTGTGACAGAGGTGCGGCGCCGTCCGTCCCAGGGGCCCTGCGCGAGGCTCCTCCCCCACACAGCCCGGCCTCTCTGCTTGGGGTGGGGTGACGCTGCAGCTGCACTCTCACGGCACGGCTGTCACTGATGCAAAACTTGGCAGAAGTAGTTTTTAAAATCACACTTGGGGAACCCTCTGAATCTTGGGCATGGAAGTCATCCTCAGCAAGTGCCTGCCTCTTGCATGTGTGGGTGGCCGGAGTCGATGTCCCCACAGCTCCCACCCTCCCGGGCAGCCAAGCCGGAGCCGGGAAGTGGGCTCGGGAGGCCCCCACTTGCTGGAGGTACTGGGCGCTTTGGTGAGACTGGTCCCGTCCCCGCAGGGTTCTTCGGACGCAAGTGCGTGGACGCCTGCCAGGTGAATCCGTGCAAGCACCTGGCCACCTGTGAGCATGCTCCCAGCTCCCCACGCGGCTACGTGTGCAAGTGCGAGGCCGGGCACTACGGCCAGTACTGTGAGAACAGGTGGGCGACGTGGGGCCTCCCCTCCCCACGTGGGACACAGAGTTCTGAGGGTCCTAGTGGGCTGGAGCTGGTGGGGTAAACTGAGGCCAGGGAGGGAGGCCATGTCTCCACGGTCCGGGCCTCCCCGGTACCTCCCATCCCAAGAAGCCCTGTGACCCAAACCCTCTGCTACCATCTTGCGTCCCCAACAGAATCGACCTTCCCTGCCCCAAGGGCTGGTGGGGGAACCCCGTGTGCGGTCCCTGTCACTGCGCTGTCAGCCAGGGCTTCGATCCCGACTGCAACAAGACCAACGGCCAGTGCCAGTGCAAGGTGAGACCAGCGTGCAGGGACGCGACTGCCAGGCCACGCATGCACGTGCACACCCCTACACACCCATGGACACCACACCTTCATGTGCACAGGCTGCCCGGACTCACACGGACACACATGCACGCCTCCACGAATGCCCGCCTGTACACACTCACACACACTCATGCACAGACGTGTGCTCTGATGCCCACTGCTCTTCATGTGCGGACAGCTTGAGGCACTGCCCTTACCCCACCAGGGAAGCCAGAGGCCTGTGGGTTCCTCGGCCCGGCACGGCCAGGCTGCCTCACCTTCTCTGTGAAGGTCGGCTCCTCTCAGCCCCGCCTGTCCTGGGTGGTCACTGACATTATTGTCTTGCCCCAAACTGGTGCTTAGTGATGACAGAAGTTTTAAAAAGTACAAGAAGCTGGGCTTGGTGGTGCATGCCCGTAATTCCAGCATGTTGGGAGGCTGAGGCAGGAGGATCACAGCTCAGTCTGGACAGCTTAGCAAGACCCTGTCTCAAAGTAAAAAATAAAAGAGCCAGGCGTGGTGGCGCACACTTGGAATCCCAGCACTTGGGGGAGCTGAGGCAGGAGGATTGCCATGAGTTCGAGGCCAGCCTGGGCTACGCAGTGAGTCTTTCAAGACCAGTCTAAACTACATAGTGAGACCTGTCTCAAAAAAACCAAAAAAATTAAGAAAGGAAGGAAGGGAGGGAAAGAAAAATGGACAGACTGGGGGGATAACTCAGTGTGAAGGCCCCGGGTTTAATTTTCAATACTGCCAAAAAGTAGGGTAGGGCTGAGGATGTGGTTTGGAGGTAGTGTGTGTACCTAGCTGTGCAAGGCCCTGGGCTTCGTTCCCAGCCCCACACGTCTGCACGCGTGCACGCAGGCATGCACACACACACACGCATGCACATCCTCCAAAGCTGTTGTCCCACCCGCCTCGGTGCCCCGACCTAGGGCACCCTGCTGCCCGGCTTCTGCTCTCGTTTCTCGGTCCACCGCCCAGCCTGGGGACCTGTCTCATACACTCATCACCGTCCTCCCGTGACTGTCCCTGAGCTCCCTGTAACCTGGAGCCACGCCCCAGGGCAGAGGGCGGCAGGCAGGTTCAGGGAGGGGTGCGCTGTCCGGGCAGCGCTCGCCGACCCCAAGCGGGAGGGTCGCTCTGGGCTCCTGCGATGCGCCCGCCACGGCGCTCTCTCCCTGGGCGTCCTCGGCGTCCCTGCAGTGAGTCAGGCCCCACTTTCTGGACACGGCCCGGGGTGTCAGGGCACGTCGGTGGCCGGGGCGAGGGTGTGAGGCAGGCCTAGTGGCTGGAGAGGTTGTGATTGTGATTCTTTTCTCACCAAGAACATAGAGATACAGACAGTGCAGGGCGGAGCTGTGAGGTCACTGCCACCCGCTGCGCCCCTGGGGCCGACTGCCTGGGCACAGGCCCCTGCTTGCCGGAACCTCGCACATCAATGGCCCCCGCTCCCTGCCTGCCGCCGGGTCCTGGGGGCTGGCCCACGAGTCTGCCTGTCACAGCCCATCCCAACTCAAGGGGCCACTTGGGCCAGTGCTGGGCCAGGCCCAGGACTCTAAGCCTGAGGCCGGTGCTCTGGACCACCCAGCTGCCCCATGATGCTGATTTCTCATAATTCCTTTTAAGAAAAGACTCCAGGGCTGACCTTCCCCTCCGTCTGCTCTGGGATGGGTCTCTGAGCCCTCTTAGGATGACCTGCAGCTGTCTCGGGTAGCTTTGCTAAGAAACGAGGTCCTTCCGGGCTGCTCCTCTTGGTCCTGCTCTACAGGGGCCGGGAAGTGGCCCAGGAGGCAGGGGACATGGGAGGGGCGGTGAGGAGCGGCACGGAGATCAGGCTGGCGGCTCTCTGCCGGGCACCCTGGGGGGCCCTGGGTGTCCTTAGCACGCGTCTCCCAGGCCAGGGCATCTGAGGTCACCACGCTGCCTCTGGCCCTGTAGGAGAACTACTACAAGCCCCCTGCCCAGGACGCCTGCCTGCCCTGCGACTGCTTCCCCCACGGTGCCCACAGCCGCGCGTGTGACACGGACACCGGGCAGTGCGCGTGCAAGCCCGGCGTTATCGGCCGCCAGTGCAACCGCTGTGACAACCCTTTTGCTGAGGTCACCTCGCTTGGCTGTGAAGGTCTGTGGTCTGGGAGGGCTCCTGCGGGAGAAGGGCCCGACCTCACTCGGAGCTGCTGGGCTGAGCGCGTTCCGTCCTCTGCACCCAGTGATCTACAACGGATGTCCTCGAGCGTTTGAGGCTGGCATCTGGTGGCCGCAGACCAAGTTCGGGCAGCCGGCAGCGGTGCCGTGCCCCAAGGGATCCGTGGGTAAGTCCCATGGCCGTGGCACCACAGGCCGGGCACCCGGGCCTCACAGGCCCGTCAGGAAGCTGGCGGGCGCTCTCCTTGCGTCCTGTGTCCTTAGTGGGAACGATAAGCTCGCGGGAGGGGACAGTGAGGCTGCGCGTGGTGGGGTGCACCCTGCTGTCACCCCAGCTGGGTGCGCGGAGGGCGAGTCGGCTCCCTGCCCGGGGACCCGGACGGGTCCCCTCACTGTTCAGTGTCGCGGTGTCCGTGTGATGTGGGGTGGTTCTGGTGTCCACACTGAGGAGGGGTGCCTGCCGACTCGTCCCCCTGCCCCAGCCTGGCGGGCTGCTTTGCTCCCAGCTGTGCCTATGCGTCTGCTCGTGGTTGCGGGGCGTCGGCGGCAAAGGTCAGAGCAGCCCTGGGTGTGGGCACAGGGAGCAGGTGTCAGTCTCGGCCAGGGATCTGCCGGATCCTCACCCTGCTCAGCCCTGGGCTTCGGGCGCACTCAGGCGGGCACCAGGTGGGCCCCAGGCGGGCACGCATCAGCAGTTGGGTTTCAGTTCTGCGCGCACACTCGTTCCCTCCCCAGGAAACGCCATTCGGCACTGCAGCGGGGAGAAGGGCTGGCTGCCCCCGGACCTCTTCAACTGCACCAGCGGCTCCTTCGTTGGCCTCAAAGTCACGGTAGGCTGGAGCCTGGGGCTGTGTGTGGGGTGTGTGCATGAGTGTACACAGTGTGGGGGCAGTGTGTCCACAGTGTGTGTGTGTGCCCACCGTGTATCCACCTTGTGCATCCACCCGTGTGTGTGCATGTGTCCACCTCGTGTGTGTGTGCTCACCACGTGTGTGAGGGTGTAGGGGTGCTGGGGTGTTGTGCAGACTGCAGGCAGGACCAGGTTCATCTCCCTGGCTGCCGAACTGGGTATGGGCGTGTGTGTGTGTGTGTGTGTGTGTGTGTGTGTGTGTGAGAGAGAGAGAGAGAGAGAGAGAGAGAGATCTTGGGGATTAAGTCCAGGTCTTTGCGCTGCATCCCCACCCCTTTTAAAAATTTCCATGTTGAGACAGGGTCTCCCTAAGTTGCCCAGGTGGGACTCAGACTTCCATCCTCCCGCCTCAGCCCTGAGGGTGGGGATTCTAGCGTGCGCCGTGGCACCCAGCTGGGTCTTGCCTTCTCCGTCCTGTTTTGTCCTTTTGCTGTCTGCGTATCTTTCCCAGCATTCCCGCCTCCCCTCAACCCCTCCCCCCGTTCCCAGCCCCAGCCTTTCCTGCACTTGGGGTTTCAGAGTTCCTCCCTGGAGGAAGCTTCCACAGGGAAGTCAGGAGTCTGACTAACAGGAGTGGCGGAGGGCAGCAAAGTGAGTGTGCAGACCCCAAGGTTGCTCCTCCCATTCCAGAATGAGAAGCTGGCCCGCAATGAGTCGCGGATGGATGGCGACCAGGCCCTGCGGCTGGCCAAGGCCCTGCGCAACGCCACGCGGCTGGGTGGCGTGCTCTTCGGGAACGACGTGCGCACGGCCTACCAGCTGCTGGCCCGCGTCCTGCAGCACGAGAGCCACCAGCAGGGCTTCGACCTGGCGGCCACGCGCGACGCCGACTTCCACGAGGTAGGGGATGGCGGCTGGAGCCCCCGTGTGCCCCCTCGAGGTGGTGCTGGCATGCTTCTGGGCTGAGGCGGACGCTGGTGTGCTCCACGCAGGGCGGGGAAGGCGCCGTCACAGGCAAGATGGTGACAGCGATGGCCACTGACACTGGGGACCACTTAGCACTCGCAAGGGTAGTACGTGGCCCACGTGACTCGGCCATGCCGTCCTCCACACCTTCCACAGTGTGTCCCGTTCCCAGACAGGAAAGGAAGGCGAGGCCCTGAGCACTAGAGGCTGTCTGGGGGCACAGCCTGTACATGGCAGGGCCAGCGGCGAGCTCCTGGACAGACCCCTGTCCTGCATCCCATCTGCCTCTCGTTGTGTCCCCTGTACCCCAAGCCGCCTCGATGTACAGGTGCAGTGTCGCGCCAGGTCGCTGACCGCGTGTCCGAGGGCAGTCGTGCCACACTCCCTTGTGCTGCTGCACCTGTGGCCCTCGTGTCACCTGCTTTCCCCAGAGGAGCTCCGGGCTCCCGTGTGACAGATGCATCTCTGCCAGCGTCCTCTTAGCGTGTGGGGTGCACTTGCTGTGACACCCCAGCAGGGCTCCCTCCTGACTGCTGGCCGCGGAGGCTGAATCACTCCCGTGGCTTCTCTGTCCTGGCCACGGACAGCTTTGTGGAAACCAGGTGTGTCCACGCGTGGCCAGGTCTCCACGGGCATGAGGCTGAGCACTCGCTGTCTGTCTGTCTGACCAGGATGTCGTCCACACGGGCAGCGCCCTCCTGGCCCCAGACACCAGGGCCGCGTGGGAGCAGATCCAGCGCAGTGAGGCTGGCGCGGCGCAGCTGCTGAGGCGCTTTGAGGCCTACTTCAGCAACGTGGCGCGCAACCTGCGGAGGACCTACCTGCGGCCCTTCGTCCTCGTCACTGCCAACATGAGTACGGGCCCCCGAGGGCGGGCTGGGTCAGCTGGGCCAGACCTAGGGAGTGAGCCCTCGGCCCTGGCCTCCACCCTGTCTGTGCAGTGACAGAAGCAGCCGTGGCCGTGGCCCTCGGGAGGATGCTCTGTGGTCACGCACAGTCGTCCCAGGCCGGGGGCAGCAGAGGCTCTGCACTTGGTTTTTGGGGTCTGGCGTGGAGACCCTGCTGAGGCTTGGATGCTGGGGGTGCGCAGAGCCCCCCAGGGTCACAGACATGGGTGGGACATGGTAAGGGCAGGTGCACGGTCACCACCAGCCAGTGCCTAGACAATGGGGAAAGATGGGCATCCCTCACCGCAGGGCAGGTGCAGAGCCTGACCCGGGGCCATGTCCCCCGAAGTGCAGGACTCGCCACCCGGGATCGAGGGCCACTAGGTCAGGGCCCTGCAGGCAGAGGAAGCACCAGAATGGCAGCTCTGGCCCATCCCCATCCCGACAAGACAGGCACAAAGCCCCCAGGTCCTCGGGGGTGGCACCGCCCTGCCAGTACCCGCAGAGGGCGCCGCAGCTGGGCTGTGTCCCTGACACCGGGCGTTTCGCCTGCGCACGGGAGCCCTGCTCATAGAAGTGTTAGGTTGAACAGGATGACTGGCAGGTCCCCTGGCCCAGGCAGGTGGGACTGCTATCCCCACGGCATGAGGAGAAGGCGAGCGCGGCGCTGGCCTGTACCGCTGGCCAGCTCAGGGTTACAGTTCCCAAGTTCCAGCACCTCTGTGACAGTTGCCTCTGCCACCTGGAGGGGTTTCGGGGACACGACACAGTCCCCGTGGCGGCATTAGAGGAGTGTGCCCGCTCACGGTCATGCCACTGGCCAGGCTTGCCCCACCAATCTTACCTGCCAGGGACTGGAGTCCCAGGTCCAGTCTTAAACTGTCAAACAGCTGCCCCTCCCAGGTCACCCCAGGTGTTCTGAGTGTCACCCTTAAGGGACACAGATACGAGTGGATTCTCTTAGGCAGCCAGTCATGTAGAAGGACAGCCACGGGCACTTTGGAACTCCGTGGCTGTGTGCGATTCAAGGGCCTGTGTCCCCAGTTCTCGCAGTAGACATCTTCGACAAGTTCAACTTCACGGGCGCCAGGGTGCCGCGCTTCGAGGACATTCAGGACGAGTTCCCCAGGGAGCTGGAGTCCTCCGTGTCCTTCCCCGCTGACGTCTTCAAACCACCGGAGAAAAAAGGTGAATCTCCTAGGAAGCCTTGCTACCCATCCAGGAGGCAGGGCCCGTGGCCCAGGGTCCCAGCAGCAGGGCAGGATGAGTCGAGGCTGAGCAAAGCCACCAGCACGGGGTCCCCCGCAGACGGTCGCAGCGGCCAGGGGCACCACTACCTTACCAGCTTGCAGTTAGGGGCCTCGCAAGGTGTCCGGCGCTTTGTCGCAGTGCTGCTTGGGGGCCACTGCGCATCTGCAGCATCTCCAGTCACTAAGTCTTGTCGGGTGCGCAAGGCTTGCAGTGACTGGAGGGTCTCCCTCCGCAGGGCCAAGCTTGAGGCTCACCCGTCTTCTGGACGGACTGGATTGCGGGTGGGTGGGTGTTCTCCACGCCGTGTGTGTGCTTTGCTCAGAGCTCACACGAGGGGCTGTGCGTGTGGAGCCATTTGTGTGCCTGAGTCTGTTCTTCCCGCCTTTTCCTAGAAGAGGGCTCTTTCTTTTGTGTGTGCACATATGCACGTGTGCTGTGTGTGTGTGTGTATGCGTGCACCTTCTTTATCCGTATGTCCCTTCCATCATTCCCTGAAGAGGGCCCTGTCTCTGGCCCGGTCACACGTCCGCGTCTGGAGGCCCCGGCTGTCTGCCCTGTCTTTGAGCCCCCAGGAGGAGCTTGCTGTCTGTGTCCTCCGAGGACAGCCGCCTCTGACCTCCTCCATGGTGGGGGTGGCAACTATTTGGTGTGTTATGTAATGTGCACAGTGGCACTGTGTCACCACCGGGGAGGTGCAGTGTGGATTAGCTGCTCTCCGGAGCTGTGGGACATCCTGTCATCGAGGGGCAGAGGAGGACCCTGTCCCACCTCACACTGACCTAGGACATGCAGTATCGTCAGGGCAGCCTGCCCGCCCCTCCCCATCACCCCAGCTCCCTAACTTGGGAGCCAGAAGGTCAGCGTTGGACCTGGGCTCCGCCCCTCTCCTGCCCCTACAGTCTTAGCGGGGAGCCCTTCTGACCTGCACACCCTAAAACACACTCGGCACTCCACGTGACCTGAAAGCAGGCCCTGTTTGTGTTCGGTGAAAGCAGAGGCCCAGGCCCTGAGATGCGTCCCCCGCCCTCCCAGCTGCCTGGTGTAGCCGTGGTTGAGGACGCAGAGGTGGCTGGGAGGGGCTGCTGCCTTCATTTGAGGTCTGTGATAAAATGCACTTATTCGAACTTCATCATCGGCGCTGTGGCATTCACTGAAGCGAATCCCTGCTGGTTCCCCTCCACTTGCAGAGCCTTTCATCCTGCACATCCTGTCCTCCCGCCCCGCTCCTGGCAGCCGCCATCCTTGCTCTCTGCTCGCCCCTCCGGGTCCCCCACAGAAGTGGGACCGCAGTATTTGTCAGTTTGCGATTGGCGTATTTCGTGGAGTGGCACCCTTGCGGTCCCCCCGCCTGGTGGCAGGTGTCAAATTCCCTTCCTTTTCGAGGAGGAATACTATCCATGGTGAGGGTGGGCACGCTTTCTCTGCACTCACCTGTCGTGGGTGCGTGCCTGCTTCCTCCTTCTGGGTGTGCACGTGTGTGCAGATACCTCTTCGAGTCTCTGGTTTCTAGTTCTTTGAGGACAGACCTGAAAGGAGTTGCGGGAGTGGCTGGTGATTCTGTGTGCCGCTCCGTGAGGAGCCGCCATCCTGCTTGCCGCCAGACACCGTGATTGTAGGATGCACTAGCGCGAGTTGAAAGCCATCGGGTGGGGGCGCGGCCACTCCTCGCCCAGGCTCAGCCCTGTGCTCCGGTTGCAGACGGCCTCCGAAGGGCCACACAGACCGCGCGCTCGTCGCCTGGGGCTGAGACTGGGCCCCCAGTGGGCAGGCGCAGGAGACACCCGGACGACCCCGGTCAGTTCGCAGTCGCCTTGGTCATCGTGTACCGGACCCTGGGCCAGCTCCTGCCTGAGCACTATGACCCTGACCGCCGCAGCCTCCGGTAAGGCTGGGTGCCGAGAGCTCGGGGCAGGTGGGGCCCATCCGAAGGGTCCTGGGGCTTCCAGGGATTGGGCCCTGGTCGCAGCCATCTTCACAGTAGCTCTGCATCTGCACCCCGTCAAGAGCAGAGACCTTGCCCTTGGGGCCTGGTCTGCCTGTCGGTGCCTTGGCTCACCCCAGGAGTCCCCAAGGCCTGCTCCCCCTTATGCTTCCGAGCACCGTCCCTTGCTGCCCCTTGCGCCCTGCCCCAGGGCTGTCATGGGTCCTCCCCAATGGCACCTGTGCCTGGCGCCGTGTGCCCATCGCAGGGACAAGATGTAGCCCACAGAGCCTCTCTGTGTGGCCTCTGCCGCCTTCTTACTTGGTTACCCCGGTGACGGGGTGACTGGTTCAGTGATCGTTTCTGTGACGTCTCACACACATCCCCCGAGCCCCCGCAGCTGTGTGCCCGGGCTGATGGGGTCTCCAGCGTCTTCCAGCCTTCTGTCTCCATTAAGTCTCTAAAGCCACCTTCTGGCCCCGAGGTGGCAGGGCCGGCTGTGCTCTGAGGCGTGGCTGCCGGGGCCCAGGCTGCCGGGGAGCAGAGGCCATGAGTGGGTTGCTGGTGTGGCCCCTGTCCGCGTGGCATCTAAACTCACTCTTGCCCGTGTCATGCCTCCCCGCCGCAGGCTGCCCAGCCGGCCCGTCATTAACACGCCAGTGGTGAGCGCCGTGGTGCACAGCGAGGGGGCCCCGCTCCCCGGCTCTCTGGAGCGGCCGGTGCTGGTGGAGTTCGCCCTGCTGGAGACAGAGGAGCGGAGCAAGCCTGTCTGCGTGTTCTGGAACCACTCGCTGGAGTAAGTGCGGCCCCAGGAGCTGGGCGCGGGGTGCGCCTGCCTGCCGGGGAGCCCTGCACTTCCCCCTGAGGGCCGTGTGGAGGGCAGAGCACCTCAGGTCCTGGGCTCAGTGTCCCATACACGAGTCTGTGCTGGTCTGCTGCCGCCCACCCAGCCCCTCACTTGGCAGGCGGCCTCTCCCCCTACTCTGCCTCTGAGGGCGTCAGAGGCTCCCCTGGAGACACAGGCAGCTGCATGCACAGGCATCAACATGGCTGTACGCGTAGGCATGCACACATGACATGTGCACACAGACATAGTGCCGGAGCCCTTGCTGCAGCGGACGCGAGTGCCTGATCCCTGCAGAGGAGTCAGGCTGGCTGGGACACACAGGAAGCGGGATCCAGAGGCCGGGTTCCGGGAACTCACAGACAGGACCCTTGACCCAGGCGGAGACCAACCAGAGCACGGCCGCAGTGCTGGGTCCCCTGCCCCATAGCCCGGGAAGCCCCTGTCCCAGCAGGCGCTGTTGGCCTGGTTCAGAAGCGGCCAGCCCCTGAAGCGAGTGGCAGGGGTGATGCAGGGCACAGCCGCACCACGCCAGCAGCCTCGGGGTGAAGAGCCGGTGTGTGTGAAGGGACTCGGCCCCGGGGTTTCCACCTGTGCCCCTCCAAGGCCGGCTTCGGGGGCCTGTGTGGGCAGCGGGGTCCTCGCCTTCGTGTTGGCTTTGTAGCTGCAGGGTTTGCCCGAGTGGCCACCGGCTTTGCCAGGAGCTTGCCTTTCCTCTGCCCGACTGGAGAACACTGGGTGGAGCTGGGCAGGCGTGGGAACCATCCCATGCAGGGCCTGGCACACGGCCTCACGCGCCAAGTAGCACTAACTCTTCACTGGGCAGTGCCCAGGACGGGGGAAACACCCAGGGCTCAGGGATCAGCCCGAGCCCGCCACTCCCCACTCTTGAGCTGGGCCACGTTGTGGCCCCCTGGACAGAGGGGCTGGCTAGGGAGTGGGATGCAGGGGCGGCCCAGCCTGGCAAGCAGGTGCCTGCCCGGGCACGTGTCTCTTCCTGTGCCCCTGCATGGGCCGGATGCTGTTAACAAGCGGCCAGGCAGTGTCTGCAGCATAATAGCCACCGGGCCTACAAAGGAGAGAGTGAAGGAAGCCCTTTCACCGGGCGGGAGGCGTGGGCGTCAGGCACGCCGGCCCTGGCGGCCCCCGGGCACGGCTGGTGTCCGCAGTCACTTTTTTGAATCCAGGCGATTAGCTCTGACCCTGTGATCCACCCTCTGCTTAATGTCACCCCATTATCCGAGATCTGACACTCTTGGAAAACGTGTTAACCGTCACATCCCAATTTGCAGATGAGTAAAGCGAGGATCACAGGGGTTATGTGACTTTCCCAGAGTCAGGAGGGCAGGGCCTCGTAACACTTGTTATTTGGGGCTCCCCTTTGCGACTTGGGAGTCATAATTGAGCCCTGGCTTCCGGGCAGCTCCCACAGAACGTTGGGCAATCCGAAGATGAAAGTGAGTGCGGGAGGTGAGGTGTTACTTCTGAGGGTGCCGAGGCTCACCGCAGGCTGGGAACAAAGCGGCCGTGTGGCCACGGCTGATGCTTGGGCTGCAGGGAGCCTCCGAGGTGCCGGCGGGAGGACGTGTCTGCCTGGCGCCAGGCCCCGGGGCTGCATCCAGGGGACCAGTGATAGCGGCCTGGGCTTCGGTGCGGGCGCACAGAGGCAGCCCAAGGCCCAGGCTCGGTGCCAGGTGGCTGCGTGCTGTGATTCCGTCCCTTCGGTCAGGGTCCAGCGGGCCAGGGTGGCCTCAGAGACCCCAGGGCCAGCGAGCACAGCCCCCTGGTGTCCCCTCAGGGGGAACCGTCTCAAGCCCGCTCCTTTTCTCCACAGCATCGCAGGGGCCGGAGGGTGGTCAGCCAAGGGCTGCGAGCTTGTGTCCCGGAACCGGACCCACGTCACCTGCCAGTGCAGCCACGTGACCAGCTGCGCGGTGCTCATGGACATCTCGAGGCGCGAGGTGGGCATCCCACGGCCGCCTGCTTGGGGGCTGCTCGAGCCCTGTGCCTGCTGGAATTAAGCATCATTCTTCCTACCCTTGAGCAAACCAAGCGCAAGGCCTAAAAACCGTATTCCAGGAGTCTGTAAGGCTGTCCCTGACAAAACCCCTTTAAAAGGTGGGGTTTTGTTTTTTGTTTTCAGTACAGTACTGCGGATTGAACCCAAGGCCTTCTTACATCCCCAGGCCCTTCTTAATTTCTTTTTTTTTTTTCAGGCAGGGTCTCACGAAGTCACTATGTTGCCAGGCTAGACTGGGACTTGCAGTCCTCCTGCCTCAGCCTCCCAGAGTGCGTGAGACGCCACACCCAGCTGTAAGGGTTTTCTAAGAGCCTGGGCTGCACATTAAATCTGAGGCAGCAGACCCTGGCCTCAAACCCAGAGCTCCTGGAATGTTACGCCCTCAGCACAGGGTCCCTGGCCGTCTGTCTGGTAGACACTGGCATGTCCAGCAGTGGCCCTGAGGACACAAGGGTCAGGGCCCCCCAGCGACGGGGTGGATCACGTTTAACCTCTGGCACCTCAAGCAGCCTGGGGAAGTGTGTGGCCACAGAGATTGCGGGAATCTGTTGAAGGGGCCTGGGCTGGGGGCCAGGACCGGACCCTGCTGTGGAGGCAGAGCGTGGGACTGAGCCAGCCCAGGGTGCCCGCCTGCCGCCTCCCCAGGCCGGGTGGCTGCGCACTCTGGACGCGTGCGTCACCTTCAGACTGGAGCGAGAGCAGCCTTCCGCGCCGCACAGGCGCTGCCCTGGCCGGCCTCCCGTGCGGGTGGCCCTGCGGGGCCTGAGTCATCAGTGGTCTCGGCCGGCACAGGGCAAGTCCAGGCGCCCTGGAGGGGGCGCTGGAGAAGCAGAAACGAACCCGGGGTCTCCAGGCTCCCAGACCTGCGCCTCAGAGCCTCAGGACTCAAGAGCCCCCAGGCAGGCTCCCAGAGACCCCGGGCCCTTAGGGGAGCCCCAGGAGGAGCAGATCGGGGCCTGAGCCTGCTCAGCCCTCCCCAGCCCTGGTTTGCTAGGACCCCACGGACATAGCTTCTGGCTCACGCTTCTTACCCCACAGGCAGCAGAGCTTGTGCCCAGATGCCATGGCTGCCCAAACCTCAGGGTCCTGCACAGGGGTGACACCTCGCAAAGCCCCAGGAAGCGGCTTCCAGCGTGAATCTTTTACCTCCGAGTGGGCCCCAGAAACAGCTTTTGTGGTGCATCTCATGCGGCACAGCTCACGCAGATTTTACTGCAGTTGAAGATGTGTTTGTTGCCTTAAAGGCATGGGTGGTGGAAGTGACAGAAAGTCGGTCGGTCTAACAGGAGCTGCTGTGGAGACGGGAGCAGCTGCCCGGGCTCCATTCACTTCCTGCCAGGGACAGCTGCGTATACAAAGCATCACAAGGATCCCAAGTCACCCCAATCCAGTGGGTGACCACCGGCAAATTGTGCAGCCTCAGGAGCTTTAGTTTTCTCATCTGTAGTACTTTCCTGTAGGTCCCATCTAAACATATGCAATAATAGACTTGACCCACTTATGAGCAACCTTGCCACGTAATAAGTGCTTGATTAAAATATATTATCAAAAAAAAAATAGGGGTTGGGGGTTTAGCTCAGCAGCATAGTTGCCTGGCAAGTGCAACGTGGTGAGTTCGATTCCTGGTGCCAGAAAAACAAACAAACATATTATCTACTGGTGTTATACTGTCCCATATCCCCCAGGATCTCGCTGTATAGCTCAGGATGGCCCTGAACTCCCTATGTAGCCCAGGCTGGCCTCAAATTTGCAGCAATCCTCCTGCCTCAGCCTCCTGAGTACTGGGATTTACAGGCATGTGCCCAGTTGTCGCAGGGCCTTTTGCATGCGCTGGGTCCCTTTGGAAAACTTGGGGTTTGGATAGACAGCATCCCCTGACAACAGGGTGGATGGATGGGGTTTCTTTAAATGCGGCAAGACATCCGTCACAGAGAGTGTGCCCTTCCCGTGGCAGTAGAGGCCATGGTGTGTCCCCAGCGCTGCCAGGCGTCGCTCCCTGCCTGCAGAGCTCACGGCTGACTCGCTGCTTTGCGCCGGTGCCCCCGCCTCGCTCGCCCCATGGTCGGCCGCAGGGTTTCTGTTGCACAGGAGCGGCCCGTAGAGCAGAGCCAGCCTCACCCTCCCCTGCCTCTGTCCACCCCGCCCGCAGCACGGGGAGGTCCTGCCCCTGAAGATCATCACCTGTGCCGCCATCGCCCTGTCCCTGGCGGCCCTGCTGGTGGCCTTCGTCCTGCTCAGCCTGGCCCGGATGCTGCACTCCAACCTGCACAGCATCCACAGGAACCTCACGGCGGCGCTCTTCTCCTCCCAGCTGGTCTTCGTGGTTGGCATCAGCCAGACAGAGAACCCGGTGAGGCCCTCCGCCCCCTTTGCTGGCCACGGCATCCCCGGGTGCCACCGTGTGCCGCCTGTCCTCTCCCTCCTGGGAGACAGGTGCAGCGGAGGAGCTCTCGAGTGTGGTGCTGGGAATTGAACCCAGGGCCTCACGCTTGCTCACAGCTGCTCCGGAGCTAAGCTGCATCCCCAGCGTTTTCTTTTTTTTTTATTTTGAGACAGGGTCTCAGTAAGTGGCCCACACAGGCCTCACATGTGGAGTCCTCCTGCCTCAGCCTCCAGGGCAGCTGTCTTACAGGCGTGCCCCGTTGTGCCCAGCTTTGCTTGCTTTTCAAGGGGTGGGGGTGGGGGCATGGCCACTGTTGCCATTTGGGGTATGTAGCAGGCACTGCTGTGCCAGGCTGGGATGATCAGGTCATAGGAAATCACAGTCCTTCGTCAGGTCCCAGAGCCCCGGGCACTGTCGAGGGGGCGCCAGGGGCCGGAAGATGGTGGTGCATCTTGCTGACGAGCGTTGTGTGAGAAGCCAGTGGCAGCCTGGGTGCAGAGAGGCAGCTGCTGGCTCATGAAGAGGGTGGAGTGGAGAAAGCTCCCTGGGAGCAGACGGGGAGGAGGAGGGAGAGGCACGGGGCGGATTCCACTTGGTCTGATCAAACGCGGGGTTGTGGCGTGGGCTCCTGGGGGTCCTGGAAGCTTGTAGCGTTACCCGTGTAATGCCATTGAGGGTGTTCTGGACGGCGACGGTCAGGCCGCCTTTCCGGCACCCTCGATTGCCTCCTTGAGCCTCTGAGCACTGCATCTTGGGGATGAGCAGCCATTCACCAACTCCACAAGCAAGTGGGAGTCAGCGCCTGGAGCCAGTACCCTCTGTGCCCTGGGGATGGTGTCACTGAGGAGGACCCGGCGTTTCCGGTGCCCTGGAGCCTGTGGTCACGACACACAGCACTGAGTGCTCGCCCCACCCGCGCTTGTCCAGCGCCGTGGAGACACCCTGGGTGCCCCGCCGGTACCCTTTGCTCCTCAGAGCACTTGCAGGGACTCTCCCCAGCTCGCGTGCTGACCCAGCCCGTGGTGGGTACACAGCCCTAGGGAAAGTGGAAATGAAAGGCAAGCGGATGGAGGGGCGCACACGTACAGCCCCAGCACCGTACAGGAGGCTGAGGTCGGAGGATTGAGAGTTTGAGCCCAGCCTGGGCAATTCAGTAACTTACAAAATTGGTGTCAAAATAAAAAGGGCTGGGGATTTAGCTCAGTGTGAAGGCCTTGAGCACGATCCCTGAAGCTGCCTGCCTCCACAAAAGGAGAAACGACAGAGAGGGTTTTCTGGCTAGCTGGTCGTGGTACGTGCAGAGCCCGTCCTCCTTTGTGCGGCAGCAGTGGAACCCACACCCCCGTGGCCACGCCACGCACCGCAGGTGCTGGGTGCTGAACTTGGTGGCTTCCCAGCAGTGCCGCAGGAAGCGCGGCCTAGCACACAGAGTACACACCCTGGGGCTCCCCCGACGAGCAGGGTCCAGCCTCCTGCCGCCGGCCGCTGCTCCCCAAGGCCAGGTGCTGGGCAGTGTGGGCACCCTTGAGGGGCCTCTCCCACACCCACGAGGCAGGCTCCCCTCCACCTGCAGGGTCTGAGGGCACCGGACGGGGGAGGGCCTCAGTGGTGTGGGGGTGCAGCGTGCCGGAGGGGCCCAGCTGGAGGGAAGGCAGCACCTGGAAGTGCGAGGGCCCGGCCCGTGGCAGCTGACTCCTCGCCGCCTGCACCGAGCGCTGAGCGCTTTCCCCCCGGTGCAGCTGCGCACGGGGGAGCAGCAGCGCAGGAGGAAGCCACGCGCGGGGCTCCTGGGGCTTGGCGCCGTGCCTAGCTTTTGTGGGTTTCCTCCTAACTCTGTCCTGTCTCTGGGCGAGGCTTTCCATCTCCCAGCCCTGGCAGGTTGAAGTGATTTACTGTGCCTTCTCGTGCTCTTTGTTCTGCTCGGGAGACCAGTGTGCTTGGCGCTGAAGTCCGTGTGTGCGACCCACCCAGCGGAGAAAGTTGCATTCTAGTGCTTGCTTTCTCAAGCACTGGCTCTGTGGGTTCACTGTGTGTACTGAAAGCAGCGACCCGCAGCCTCCTCACCCTCCTATTCCCAAGCCGGCTGCACTTTCCACTAGGGAAACAGGGTCACCAGGCAGGCACGCCCCTCGCACCTGGCTTCCAGGATGGGCCGAGGGCATCGCATCCTCTGCCATTCATCAGATGGCGTCTCCTTCCCTTGGGTTCCTGCTGGCCCTGGGTCTGACTGATTGGGAAACGGTTCCCTCCCACCCCAGGGGGCTATTTCTGGAGTGCACCTGGCCTCAAAACGACAAGGGCAGAGGTGGCCCCAACCTCCAGCCTGTGGCGCTGACCTGCCCTCAGGGGCACTGACCGGTGCCGGAGTAAGGATGCTTCCCTGGGGGGGTGAGGGTGGTGGCCCTCCGCTGCGTCTTCAGGTGTGCGATGCAACACTTGAGGCCTCTGGACCAGCACAGTGGGAGGCTGCGTAGCACTGGGGTGGGGCGGGTGTTGGCCCTTGTGTGCGCCTGGCCAGTGGTGGGGCTTTGCGTGGGGTGTGGTCATGGTGTGACCCTGCTGTGGGCGTGGCCTTTTCTTTGGGCAAGGCCTCGACAGGCTGCCTGTGGTTGGGGTGGGGCTGGGCTGTGGGGCTGGAGAGTCTTCAGTGTTGGGCCTCGCACTGGCCCCGGATGGACACCTCCCAGGCCGTTCCCCACTGCCTGGCCTGGACCCTGGCCGGGCCAGTCCTCCTGAAGGCCCTAGGCTGCTCTAGGCCATGTCTCCAGGTCTCGTCCTGGCCGTGAGGGATGGATTTGCGCTAGGCCTCAGAGGCTGGACATGTGTGAGTCAGCATCCCGGTGCTCCTTGCCCTGCCCTCTGCTTGGCCTCTCCTGACCACCGCAGCAGGCCGGCAGGGTGCCCTCCGCTGCGAGAGGAGACACTGCCCTTGGCCACCCGGTAGACATCGTTTTTCTCTTCTCGGTTCTTGACTGCTGCGCAGACACACAGCCCTGACCAGCTAAGGACAGAGGCTTCTGTCCCTGTTCTTATTTCGGCAGAAAACCTAAGGGCTTTAGACTTGCTGGACAGTGAGGTCACTGCATGAAGACCCTCTTTCCCTCTGCCACACTCGCTGGGCAGTGGGGACTTCTGTGGGGCCAGCGGTGGTGGGCACAGGTCTAGCTCTAGTGTTATTGTTTTTTCTATTTTACCTTCAAGTGCTGATACTTAAATTTTTGAAGCCATCACACAGCTTATATCCCAGCTGCTCTACTTAATAAAGGAGCTGCCCTGCCTGTGCCGTGTCCCTTGGGCAGGGCCCCAGGTGCCTGCTTCCCTCTGTCCTTGGTTCCACCTTGAAATCCTGAGATGCCGTAGTCCTCAGTGCTCCTGACCCTGGTGACACACAGGAGCGCCAAGGAGCTCGATCCCCTGGCGTTGCAGGGTGGCCAATGTAGTCGCTCCCTGTCCCCTCGCTCCTGTGACTACAGCCTTAGGGGCGCCCTGCTGAGCCCAGCCTCTCTCTGCACAGTTCCTCTGCACGGTGGTTGCCATCCTGCTGCACTACACCTACATGAGCACCTTCGCCTGGACCCTAGTGGAGAACCTGCACGTCTACCGCATGCTGACCGAGGTGCGCAACATCGACGCTGGGCCCATGAGGTTCTACTATGTTGTGGGCTGGGGTATCCCGGCCATTGTCACAGGTGAGGACACTCAGAGCACGCCTGCCGTGGTGGCCGTGAAAATACAGATTTCCAATAGACCCCTACTCATTAGGGCTCCATGCATCATTGCTGGTCCAGAAACTAGAGCTTCCACGTGCGGGGAGAGCCACCTGCGTCCCTTTTCTCTGACCCTGCGCACTGTGGACACACACAAGTGAGGCTTCTCAGTGCCCACTTGAGAGATGTGGCTCTGGTCAGGTGTGAGCTCCTTGAGAGGGGAGCCCAAGATGTTCTCTGTGTGCAGCATCTGACAAAACTCCATGGCTGCCAGTGGGTGGATGAGGGGATGGATGGG